AGTCAGCACCCAGGAGAGTGCAAAGACGCCGCCCACCCGTGGAATACCCGTCCTCGGGATGCTGATGTGTCAAGGGGTCTCATGTACCAAGCCTGTGTGGAAAGAAGGCATTCCGAGCATGCTCAGAAACCCTCTCCATCTCCTGCTCCCCTCACACAGGTGTGGGAGATCCGGATCCCAAGGCCTAAATGGGCTTCCGAAGGAGGTTTGGGGGCCCCGAGGCCAGCCAGCCCGAGCCTCCAATCAAGGGACGTGCTGTGCCCACGTGGGGAGCGATGCTCCCAGCTGGGGCTCAGGCAACCAGGGAGGTGTTAACGGCCCCCCCAAGTGGGGGGCAGCTTCAGCTTTCCATGCGATGTGCCAGCTGGATGCACCCACATGCCTCGGCGGCCTGACCCCACACACCCAGGCAGCCCTGGCCGGGCAGGAGGCCCCCACAGCGAGGCCACGGCGCTGCCCCGAGCCCGGCCCGCACCTGCTCCAGCTGGGACTGTCTGCGCTTGAACGCCTCCAGCGGGTCTTCTTCCAAGGAGTAGTTCTCCAACACCGACCGGACGTCTTCGACTCCGCTCAAGGCAACAGCTGTGGGACACACGCAAGAACGGGGCACTGAGTCCGGCTGCCGCCTGCAGACGTGGCCTGAGTGGCCGCTGTGCGTTCGCAGGCAGGGCCGATCGCAGTGGGAATTCCTGGTGCCGGTGGGCTGGGTGGGAGGCTGATGCCTGGGCGGCGGCGCTCGGCCTCCGAGGCCCCAACGGTGAGGTCGTCGCAGCCCCCTCCCAACTGTTCCCATGGGACAAAACAAGGGCCATGAGTCCCCCACCCCGGGCGACAGCCCTCCCCTTACTCTTCAGAAAGGCGGCGAGGTCAAAGAGGGCCCGGTCATCCGAGTTCCCGTCCCACTTCTTCAGGGCCATGCCGTTGAAGGGCTGCAGGCGGAAGGCCTCCTTCTTGCAGTCCACCACGACCACCTTGGCCGGGTCTCTGTTCAGGCAGGAGATGTCCTGGAGAGGAAGAGGGCACAAGGTAGGCAGGCAGGCAGGCAGGCAGGCAGGCAGGCAGGCAGGCAGGCAGGCAGGCAGGCAGGCAGCAGGGGCCTCGCTAGGCCGGGCTGGGCCGGCTCATGCGGCACTTCAGGACACATCTGCATGTTGGGAGGGGCGCAGGGGCTCACGCGGCGGCTGCGAGCCTTCCCGAAGCAGAGAGCGCCGTGCCAAGGGCCCCATGCGTGGCAGCCGAGCACGGCCCCCTCATTTCCGGGCTGGGAAGCTCCCTGCACCGTTGCCTCGCCTCGGCTTTGCTGCCTGGTTCCTGTCGTGCCATTCCGGACGGCTTCGCACGCAACCGCTCCTCTCCCCGTGTAAAGCTTCCTGTGACTGCGATCTGGAGCACGCTCGGCTTCCTGCGGACAACTCCAGCTGCAGCCTGCGGGCCTGGCCTCGCTCTCGAACAAGTGCGCCCACGGGGGCATTTTGCCAGCCGGGCGGACTGCCTCCCCACGGGGAACCCCGGGAGGCCCAGCAGAAGGCACCACCTCGCCGGTTCCAGAGCGTCTCTCGTGCAGGGAGCACAGCCTCCTTACGGCACCTTCACTTCAAAGCACAAGTACCAGTGCGGGCGGAGAAAAGGCGCTCAGGTCCCAGCATGCCTCAGCTCGCACAGGCCTTCTCTTCGGGACAGGCGAGGGGAGGGCCGCACTTTTCATCTTTTCAATGCGCATGAACCGGCTTAGGTGGGTGCTACAGGGCTGATGGTTTCTTCCTTTAATGAGCTTTTCTGAGCCTAAATCGCCACTGTGTTGCAATAAAAACCACTTCCTTTGAAGGAATTAAGCTCTCGGCAATGAAAACTAACTCCTTGCCCTCCTCCCGGAACCTTCTCTCCCACCGTCCCGAGAGCTTCATCTCCATCCCCAGGCCCCGCTTAGCTCTCTTTCACTCGACCGCCGTCACGCAGCCATTTCGGGACGGGCCCCGCACAGGCCTGCTGCCTGAGCAGCAGCGGGGGGGGGGGGGGGGGCTGCTCCACGCGGGAGGGGAAAGCACTCCTTGCCCCCTTCCTCCGCCTCCTGCGGCTCAGAAAAAAGGAGGAAAGGGGCCGCAACAATCGGCGCGCGGAGACGACAAATGCATTCCGCGGAGAGGAGGAGAGAAAGAGACACCCCACCGGCTCGGGGCAGCAGATGGGAGGTGGGGGGTGGGCGGGGAGGGGAGGCAGACAGAAGGCAGGCTCACAGCCCAGCCGAGCCCCGCAAGGCCGCCCTCGCCCTATTGTGCGGCGCAGGCACCCGGAGTCGCCTTGCGGGACACGTGGCGCGCATCTGCCGTTTCCGCCTCGTGCTCGTCTGGGCCGGCTGAATGGGCAAGGTGCTCCGTACAGCTGTGGGCATTATCATGGGGGGGGGGGGGGGTGATCTGGAGACGTGTCCCTCAGGATGCCAACAGCAGGTGTGCACCGGGGGGGCTGCGTCCCCCCCACCAAGCCTGCTGGTGCAGAGGCCCAGCTCTCCCGCGATTCTGCGGCTGGAACAGAGATCCAGGAGGCTCGGCGGGACATCGCGACATGCCTGCGACGGATCGCGGCCTCCGCTTCTCATGGGCATAAATAAAATGCAACCCCGGGGTGCAGTGTGAAGCGAGTCGCGTCACCCGCACGCTGGTTACGGAGGAGGAGGGAGCCGGAGGGGAAGCGTGGAGGGAGGAAGCGCCAGCAGGCACGTTCTGCCGGAGCCCGGCACGCAGCGCTGGCAGTCGAGTGAGGAGGCCGCCCCCCCCCACTGGGGAGGCACACCTGACACAGGTGCGGCAGGTGCCCCCCCCCCATGTTGCTGAAGAATCGGCCCTCCCAGATGCTTGCGTTCCAGCGTTTCCCGATGCACGCAGTTTAAAGTGGTTTATGCAATGAGCTCTTTATACATGAAGATTCGGAGAGGGTTTAGCCCTCCATGGGAGTAGGGCAGAGAAAGGGGAGCTGTGATGTGAAACCCAGGCCCTCTCAGCTCTGGCTGGGCTGAGGAGCCCGAGACCGAGACCGGCACGGGGGCAGCCGAAGAAGAGCAGGAGCCGAGCCTTTTCATCCCCCCGTGAACCGGCCTGCCCACGCCTGCCGCTCATGCGGCTTTCCTTGGGCAGAATCTCAGCACAAGATGTTGCTCTGCAGCCCAGCACTTTTCTCCGATGGCTCACCCAGAATAACACTACTGCCTAAACCCACTCAGATGTGTCTGGAGGCGCTCTCCAGAATATGGACTGAGTCACTGTCTCATTACTACAGTTATGAACCACTTTTCCTCCAAGGAGCTCACATGATTCTCCGTCCCCACGCCTTTTACTTTCACAGCAACCCTGCAAGGCAGGCTGACCTGAGCAAGGGAGCCTGCTTCAACCCAGGGCTGCTCCTCCTGAGATCAGCCCTCTAACCGTGGGCCCCACGCTGGAAATACCGCTACGCAAAGCTGACGCCGCCACCTGCCCGGCTCCCGAGTGGCCCAGAAGCCCCCAGCCCTCACCTTAACATGGTGCCCGTCCATGTAGCGGGTGGCATCACGGAAGAGCCGGTAGGAGATGAACCCGTGAGGGTCGACGCTGTCGATGAGGGGGAAGGCGGTCTGGAAGAAAGAAAGAGGGATGGGGTCGCCCTGCAGGTGGAAGCATTCCTACCGCCGTTTTGCAAGGATCACTTGAGGCTGAAGGGCACGGGCGTCAAGGGAAGGGCACATGGCCTCACCAGGCCAGCACAGGCACAGGTGGTGACGGAAAGAGGCCCCTTGGTCTGTGGCACGTGCAGAGTGCTTATTCTGCCCCCACCCTGTATTTTGTGCCCTCTGAGCCTAAGACTGCTGATGGGCTCTAGGTGGACTGCTGACTACACCAACCACACGCCCTGACCAGATTCAGATGGCCCTGCATGTACCGCAACCGCCGATAACACGGAAATGCCGGCTCAGAGGGGATCACTTCCAAAAGAGGTTCAGGCCGGTCTCTGCGCAAGTATCTGGCAGAAGGAGCCCTGCCAACGTGGGAGCGTGGCCCCGGAGCACCGGCGCGCATTCTTGAACCTGGCGGGCCGTTAATGGGGTGCCCCCTCGGGAGCGCACAGACTGGATCTGCCCGCGCCGGCCCTGGGGAGCGGCTGGCGGCTGGCTTAACCGAGTCGCATGTGCTGAACGAGAGCAAACAAGCCAGAGAGGGGCTCGGGCCCTTCCCAGAGCGACTCTGCAGTCTTCCGCCCACAAGTCTCCTGACCGCGCCGCTGCCTCCTTCCCCAGGACAGACCCACTCAATTAGCACAGTAACAGCCCGGATTCAATCGGCTGACAGGCGCAGGCTGGACCCATGCATATTCAGATGCGCAGTGGCACACTCCTGGGCCCCCTTCAAGCGTGAGAAAGGGGACAGGGAAGGAGGCAGCCGACCCGGAGGTACAAAACAGGCCAGCCAAAATGCCCCCTCCTCAGGCTGACACAGATTCCTCTGGCTCTGGCAGGGGTTCTGGGACCCCCATGACAGCTGTGGCTACCCACCCGCCTTTGCGCCACACGGGTGTGGAATCTGGCCTCTGACCCAAAGCCCAAGATTGCGAGCAGCTTGGTTTCATTTGTATTAACTGGTCGGCGTTTACAGCTCCCGAGAAAAGCTTGGGGACAACGGAGCGGCTCCCTCGCTTGCAAAAATCACAGCTGAGCAGCAATGGCTGAAGGGGGGGGGAGCGATTTCTGGGCACTGAGGCGCTTCATCTGCATATGTATTCCGTACTTAAGAATCTGGATCCCTCCCCCCCCCCCCACACACACACAGCGGCACCAGCTCTGGTCAGCTTCCTCCAACACTCTCAGCGATGAGCGTGTAACAGCGCACAAGCCGGGCCAGACCCCACGGCCGACCACGGGCTCCGGGGGGAAACCCGCGAAAACAACTTGGGTGCTGGCACCCTCTCAGCCATGTTCCCCAGCAACCGGCAAACCGGGACCCAGCGCCTCAGAGAGTGAAGGCAGCACAGCCCCCCACCCCTCCCGGAATCTGTCCAATCCCCTCTGACAGCACTCAGACAGGGGGTCAGCGCTGCATCTTGGGAAGACGCCCTCGCACTCCTCTCCGCCAGCTTCAGGGTTGCTCACACTGGGTTCCAGGGGTGTGAGAGACTGAGAAGGCTCCTCCGCCCACAGGAGGCACAGCTTCATAAGCCTCCATCGTGCCCCCCCCCCTTCCTCACCTTCTTTTCCGATGCGCCCACTCGCCGCTGTGCCAGCCCTGTGGCTGTTTGGGCCCCTCCGCTCCGCCACCTTGCCTTTCGGGGCGGTGAGCAGGACTGGGCCTCCACTGGAGCCACCTCAGACCTGGTTCTCCGACACTGGACAGCCTTGTGGGTTCAGCCTCAACTGGCCCCGGGCAGAGGCCCCATGCAGAGCTGCTGCCGCCCGCCCGCCCTAACACAGGCGTGCCAGGCGCGAGGGGCAAGAGGCCGCGGAGCACTCACGGGAATTTGCTGCTGGACAGCAACACGCACGCTTCTGACGGGGAGCGGCACCCTCGCGTCCTGGGTGGGCCATGGGACCAAGAGTAGCCTCTCCACCTGCCTGACTTCCCCCGGACACACGAGGCCCAGCCGGGCCAAGTTGTGACTGGCTGGGGGCCGAGCGAGACACTCACCATGCCTGTCTCGGACGTGAAGATGACGATTTCGTAGAGGGGTGCCAGCTGCTGGAAGAGGTTGTCGATGCCTGGTCTCTTTTTGAAGCGCCAGCCGGTCACTAACTGAGGACAAAAACAGGCCAGAGGAGTGGGAGAGCAAGAGCAGAGCCAGGAGAGGAAGGCAGAATCAGCGGCACAGAATGGCTGCTCGCTTGAACTCAAAATCTGGTGCGCAAACTTGCACTCGATCCAGCCACTCCCTGCTCCCACGCGCTCAGCTGGCTTAACACAGCAGCCGTGAGCATCATTACTGTGCCCCAGGAGGGAAGGGGAGGGGGCAGAAGCCTCCCGGGCAAATAATGCCCCCAGTCTGGAAGAGCTGTTGCCCTGCACGGGGAGGCAGGGGCACATCCAAGTGGCAGCTGGGGGAGGCTGCCAAGCCCCCCCAGTCCATGCCACATGGTGTGCTGCAGGAACCCCACAGACCCAGGCTGGTCGCCACAGCCCACGCAGGGATGGCTCTCAGCCAGCCAAGCTCCCTCCCTGGGTATGGAATGGCTGCAGGCAGCCACTCCAAGCAGCTGTGCAGGCCGGAGGCGAGGGCCCACCTGGAGGCAGCCAAGGGACAGGCCACGCAGCCACGCCACCTGGCTCAGCAGTGGCCCACCCGCCACCGCTCCCCGCAGGCCTGGGGGGATACGCACCGACCACTCGGGGTGCAGCAGCACATCCGTGAGTTCGATGACGAGGGTGTACGGGGGCTGGTAGTAGGGCTCTTTCAGGGGGTCCGGGAGCAGCTTCGGGCTGGTGGGCTCTATGATCATCTGCGAGAGAAATAAGCGCGGCAGCATGAGGGTCCGAGCCGCTGGCTGCGGGACGGGTCCGTGCCACGGTGGGCTCGCCAGGCCTGGAGGTTCGGTTCGGGGGGTGCTTCAGTCCCCCTCAAAACATGACGCTTCCAGCACTCCCCTGGTAATTGCGACATGCTAACGGCTGGCTGTAGCGTGTGCGCGAATTCGATTTCCTCAGAGCTGCGTGGAGGCGGGAAGAGAAGCCAAACGCTTTGGTCCCCCCAGTTGCAGACGGGAGAGAAAGTTGGGACCGTGCATTTTTTTACCTCACGACACGCACGGCCTCCTTCCTCGGCCTGGGATGCGGGGCAGGGCGTGGCCAGCGCTCCAGCTCGCCTTGCAGCTCTTTTCGTAGGTAAACAGATGCGCAGAACCAAGGGGGCGCATCTTTGCAGCCACTCGAGAGCGGTGGTCCCTCTGTGGGCGCCCAGCACTGAGGCGGGGAGTCCGTGCCGCAGCGGCAGAGGCGGCGCCCTCCAGCCACGGGAGCCCCCACAACGTGCAAAACGGAGCGCGCCCTCCCTACCGAGGCGAAGTGAGGCCCAGCCAGGCTGCAAACAGCTTGTGCTGCTGAGGGCAAAGTCTGGCTCGCGAGCGGATCACCCTGACAGCTGGCGACAGTCACGGTGTGGTGGATGGGGGCGTCGTGACAAAGCCAGCCACGGAGGCGACGGCCCCGCTTCAACAACGTGGGCACAAGTTAGCCTCTAAAGTGGGGAAGAGGGAGCCCAAGTCAGCGGCATGGCGCTCATCCTGCTATCGAGCGCTCGGTTTTCCTCTGGAGAGACCTGGGGGCAGAGTCTGGAGCTGCGCGAGCCTGAGCAGCCTCACTTACCTGCCTGTAGTCCTTGAAGTACTTGTACGCCCTCCGGAGCTGCTGGATCACCACTGGATCTGCAAGCCAATTGAGAGCTCGGCTAGTGTGGAAAGCCCCTCGCGCTTTGCCAGTAGTGAGGCAGTCCGTGGGCACACAGGCGCCCTCCCCCCCGGCTCTGGGCGTGCTGGGACTGGACGCCCAGAGGACGCTTCCGCCAGGGAGAAGGGCTGTGCTCCACGAGGCCGGGCCTTTCGTTTTGGCGCGCCACCACAATCCGCAACACTCTCGGCCCTGTTTCCACTGCCTGCCGCAGCCCCAGAGATCCAATGAAGCAGCTCTGGCACCCTCAAAATAAGAGCTACAATTCCAGGAGTGGCTTTTTGCGGGGTGGGAAACCTGTTTTAGCAGAATCACTTTTCAGTGGCCCTCGTGCTTCCGTGTTCATTTGCCATCGGAAGGGAAACCCTCTTTCCAGACAAAAACTATGACAAGACCGACAAAAGCAACATTTCAATGCTGCTGCAGTGAGTAAGCAGAAGTCTGCTGGCTGTCCGGTCCAGACGAATGGCTATTGACGGAGCGGCTGGCAGCTTCCGCACAGCTTTCCATCTCCCCCCCCCCCGCCCTGGCCCAAGCCATCTGAACATATGCACAGTCCCACAGCCCCTCCAAAAGAATACTAATGGATGCTTCAATTACCAGCTCGCTTAAGCAGAGGTCAGGCCGGAGAAGAGAGAGCGTGTGAGCGGAGCACAGTCCCCACCCCAGCGCTGCTAACTGTCCCTCTGAGATTACAGCTTTAGCATCTCGGGGACCAGGGTTATTCAAACAGAAACTGTAAGTTAATCAATCAAAGGCAGGCGCATTGAATGGGGCGTAATTTGGGAGCAATTGTTATGATAATCCAAGCTGAGCAGCTGGGGTGGATGACTGGCTGGGCCGCAGCGGAGCCAAAAGGATTCCAGCGTCCACCGGGGCCGTGTATGGCGGAATTTGGCTGCCTGATTAGAAGACTTTTTAAAACTGTGAGTCTGCTACAAGGAGAAATGAGGGGCGGGTTCCGCAAATGTGCTCCCCAGTCTGATGTGATGGGACGCTGAGTTTGGACGCTCACTTTCCCATCTTTAGTGGAGTCTGGATGGAGAAACCACTCCTAGCGTGAGGAAGTTTCCTATGACACAGCGAGAGGTGCCGGTTGAGTCAGAACAACAAAGCGCATGTCCTTGATGTATTCGAAAGCAGCCCCTTTGGGAAAGTCCAGAGTTTGCTTATTTCTAGTGAGTTACAATTTACACTGGAGAAAATGAAGTCATTGCTTCTGTTTTGAAACCTGCTTCGGGTTTTTGGCTGGAATACTAGGGAGGAGGGGCCCCTGCTCGAATGACCTGCTATTTATGGCCGAAGGTGTTATTTGCAATGAGCTGCTCCCCTGAGTCGTGCTACAGACAAGCAGCAGAGCTCGCCTTCCAGTGCCGATAGAGCTGACCCACCTAAGAGGCTTGGGTGCTGGCTGGGTGGCTGATTCGGGCCACGTTGCACAATGCGTTATGCTACTAAAGGCATCAACCCATGACAGCGAGGGAGAAGCAAGTCCTGCAAATCCCAGCATGCCCCCACCAGGGAGGGAGCTGGGAGTGGTGGGCCAGGTTTCTGCTGGCAATTGCTTTGCTTGATCCTGACCCTCCCCGGTAAGCTCCCTCCCCTTGCTTCGGGAGCACTCCTTCCCAGGCGATCTCCCAGCCTTGATCTTCCTCTCAAGCAGCAGGGCCTCCTCTGTGGCAGCTCCCAAGCTCTCCCACAGAGAGGCTGGCCCAGGATCTCCCTGATGTCATTTCTGAGACAGCAGAAGGCTCCCCCTTTCGTGACACTGCGTGCCTGTGCTTGTGGCCCCACGTCTATCGGTTTGAAATTGGCTTACCAATACCCGAAATGATTTGCCCATTTTTTGTATTCTGGTTTTGTTCCACTTGATAAACTGCAATGACATTTTATGAACAGCAGCATGCAAAGTCTTTAAAAAAAGCGCATTTCAGGCAACTGACTCCCCAAAACCCGTTAAGTCTGAGCTGGGTAATGGAACCCGTACTTCTCCCCAGTGGAAGTGAGTTATTTCAACATCTCGGGTTAATATAAACGTAGGAGGAGGTTCTATGGCTTGATACTAATAGCCACGGTTAAACACGGGCACATAAAGAAAAGGGAAGGACCATTCTGGGGAGCCCCAGTGATTCCGGCAGTCTGTCCTCCTTTCCATCAAAGGGCAATAAACTTGTGAATCTGCTGAAAATCTGGAGGGAAGGGAAAGCAGGGGGAGGGGGCGTGAAACACTGGGAGGGGGACAAACGAGCAAACCCATTGTGAGGAACAATGGGGCTGCGACTGGAGGATGCCTTTTAATCGGCTGAGAGCATATGCCGGGCCAGCTGAAAGGCCCTCGTGAAAGGTGCTTCCTATCCCAGGCGAAAGCCCCCCACAAGCCACCCCCGCCCCGTGGGTTTCCTACATAATTTAGCAGAAAACCCCCACTAACGGGACAATCTGCCTTCTCAAGGCTTCCTGCAAAGTTCCACATGGCCCTCAGCTGCAGAAACAGACACCTGACCACCCCTTTGTATTTCTGAAGACTCTAAATACCATACGATGCATTTTAAAAATTCACTCGTGGACAAGTCTCCTGGCAGGGGAAACCAAAGATGCTCTTACGGAGTTCTTATTAAAGCCGTCCTGGAGTGCACACTCGTTGCACGCCTGGGCGCCATTCATGCAGCGCTGAGCGCTAAGCTGCATGCAGACGCTCTGCTGATGGGCCACTGGGTCTGTCTGAAGCAAACCGCTGAAGGGACGGGGCGGGGACCGAAGCCCGCCTGGAGCCCCGCGGGGCACAGCACGCCACCGCCTCTGGCCAAACCTGGTGCAGAGCACGTGGCACAAAACCGGAACGGTCGGGATGCCTTTGGGGCCGGACCCCAGTCGGTGCGCCTCGCCGCTCGCCAAGGTTCAGCGTCCCGCCACCCGCCTCTCCAGGGCGAGGAATAGCCGAGGAGGGGGACAGCTGGAGTGCCTGTGGCCGGCCCTGCCCCGGCACACACACCCGCAGCCCCTCCTCTGGGCTCCTCGCCCTTCGTTCATTTCCATCACAACGCGCCGGCCCTGCTTCACGCCTCCAGCGACGCGGGGCGGGACGGAGAGGGGTGCCTGCCCGGTGGAGGAGCATTGTTAACTCCCCATCACGACATAAGTTCCGGCTGACCTTCTGCTCCCGACAAGGGGTGTGCGCCTGGTTATGCACCAGTACATCTGCTCTCAAGGCAGCCGCTGAAGAAAGCCGCCCTCCGCCCCCCACTCATCCGATTAGAGATGTAAAGCAATTCTGGTTATTCTGGGAAGTTTGTGCGCAGGGATTTTCATTTTTAAAAATGCTTGTGAAGAGATGGGTGTGTAAGCAGGTCACGCCTGTTGCCGTTCCCCCACTACCCTGTTTAAGGCAGAAGGGAATTAACATATTTATAGCTTAACTTCTGGTGCATTTCAGCTCTGCCTGCCTGCCTGGCCACCAGAATTAGCTGCTTTAATAATTGAGGTGTTGAAGACATTTGGTTAGCTGGTGGCACAGATTAAAAAGCCACGGAATCTAGCAGGCCGTTCTTGAGCCACGAACCCGTCCAAGCTCGCAGGGAACTCACAGTCCTGACAAGCCAGCCTCCCGCTAGCTACACATCGGCCCAATCTCATTTTGCATTAATGAGAAAAGTAGGAGAGAAAAGTATGACTACTCTTTCTATTCTGCCATTCTATACTTTTAATCCTTTTTTTGATAGAGAAACCAGAGAGTTTATAATACAGCTTCTAGGCTACATTATGATATATGCTACCCGACATTTCAAGCTGTGCCAAGTATCCATGCATAAGGCCTTCTATCAGCATCCAGGTAACATTTCAAAATCAATCCTTCTGCCTGAAAAGTCCTCTTGAATGTTTACTTTGCTCTCAATAAGTGTCGTCGCACAATCATCCTATGCTAACACTACATAAACACTAGCGTGCCTCACTGCGCTGAAAAAAGCAACACCATATAGACCTCGGTTCCTTGCTCAAAAACACGAATTTAGAGTATTTCCGCTATGGTCTACCAGGTCCTTACAAAAACCTCAGAAGAACTCTGAGAACAAAAATAAATATTTAAAAGCATTGATATACCTGCAACCCAACATTTGCCTCACAAATTAGTTCAAAATCTTTGGTGAAGAATCAACTTTTTTCAGGGAGAAAAATCTTGATTTAAAACAAAAACTTTGGTGCAAGAAAGGCCAGGTACTTGCTCCGTCACCCCTATGTCCGTACTTCTCAGCTTTTCCAAACTTTATTGCCTCACTCTTATGCCTTGCTTCTCATTTCTCTCCATCAGATCAACTCCAGTGTATCAAAGCAATAAAAAAAAAAACCCAACAGATTTGTCTACTCACCATTATCAAACTCATCAGGAATCTGCACAGAAAAAGAAAGCTTGTTATTTTGACTCTATTACATATTATCAACCATAAAACGAATGTATGATTATTTTTATTCCCGCAGCCATTTGTTACAACAGCAAAATAATAAAATTAAAATACAGTAAATTTTAAAACAATGAAACACACTCCCCACAGTGTTAAAAATGGTGCAATGTTTAGCTGCTTTAAGAGCAAAATCTGCCACTGCCAATGAAATGCCTTATTCTGCTACAACTTTTTCTCCAAACCTTGTAAGGATCTTTTAAAAAGTTTGAGTTGTTGAAGAAATAGGACAGTTGAACGTCAAAGGCATCTTCCATGGACTAGCGCACACAGGGGTACAATATACGCTTCTAAAATGGGGGTAGGAACAATAAAACTGAAAAAGGGAAAGCAATCTGTTTAGAATTGGCAGTGTTAGTAGCTCTTGCTTCCTGGCACTGCGTAGCTGTATCTTCTGCCTGGCCAGAAGAGGCTGGATTAAGGAAATCTCCAACATTAACGATAATGCAAATACTATGTGTTAAGGACAATGGTGCTTTTTTGTCTTCAGGGTGCTAGAATGTCATCTTGGCGGCTTGATCCAGGAAGTTAATTTTTAGATATTTATGCATGCTCAAGCTGTCCTTCCCAACCTCCAGATGCCTCCCAAGAAAGCTCCTGGAAGGAGTGGTGTTGCAAAGCAGCCATTGTTGTCAGCTTGCTCCCTAATGTTCACAAAGTGGGCATGGAGGGAGGAGGCGGCTGGGGACAGAGCGCTCAGACTGGCTGCCCAGCCAGAGCAAGAGGGTCAGTGGAAGACAGGCAGGGTCAAAATGGACAAAGGAAGGAAGAGTGGAACATGCAGAAAACATGGGATATTGTTGGTTTGGGGCTGTATTTATTCCCATAAGTCCTCAGTACCATTCCAGAAGCAGGAACCTATTTTTAAAAAGGCCAGGATATGATAGAGACCCAGACACCAAACAAGGCTTCCAAGACAACTCGCACAGGAATTAACACAGGTAGGGGGTGTGTGCGTTTGTTTGTTCCTCAGAGCTGGGGAGAAGCAGTCGCATGCATTATATAGCTCTTTTTGGCTGGTTTACACAAAGAGGAAACGCGATTGTGAAGAAATGAGGTCTGGAGAGTTTACTGATGGCATGGACCAAGCTGCTCTGCAAGTCTGTTCTCCATCGAACAGGAGGAGGACCACTGCCATTCCGTTTTTGGTTAAGAGGCTATGCAGCAAAAAGCGGAGCCTTACCAAGAGTAAGTAAATCACCAGTGAAACAAGAACCGGCAGTTGAGGGCCCAAGTAAAGGCCGGGCAGGAGGTGCTAACGGGGCCAAAGGCAGGGCTTCACACCCAGGGCAGCTCCATCTGAAGAAAAGCTGCTGTATCGACTTCAGAAGCACCTGAACCTGGATCAGAGAGGAGGCCTACCCAGTCCCACCCTGCTTCCCACAGCGACTGGGAAGTGCCTCCCGGAAGCCCAGAAGCTGGCTTCGAGGACCACGGTCCCCCATCAGCAGTGGGTGGTCAGAAACTTGCTGGCTCTGGCACTGTCCAACTGTGGTGCCCTGGCAGAACCTACCCATGACCGGCACTCAAGTGAGAAAGTGAACAAGGCCATCTACAACAGCGCCAGATGCTTATCTGCAGCTCGCTGCCAGGATTCCTGCATTTCCTTGCACACAAACAGCGAGCTCCCAGACAATCTCTTGCTGAGCACGTCCAGAGTGCTTTTCTACCTAATTGCAGTCATTGCGGTGGTTAGAGGATCCGAGTGGGACTCGGGAAGTCCGGGTCCTAGTTCCCAGCCAGCCGTGCAGCTCACTGGGAGACGCTGGGCCAGCTGCTCACTCTCAGTACAAACTACGTCACAGAGCTGTTGCGAGGATGCGATGGAGAAGGGGACAAGGCAAGCTGCCTTGGCTCCTCACAAGGGGAAAAGTGCAGGATACACGATGCAATGCAAAGATAACACAACCCGCGAGGGCTGGGGGCGGGAGGACGCTTGAGAGCGGAGCGTGAGGCCTGACTCTCCCTTTAGGAGTCAGCTGCCAGGCGAGAGCGCTTGCAAAAATAACCGCACTCTGGAGCCGGCACCAAATGGCCCTCGCACCTTTGCACTTGGGGTTGCATCTGTGCTCAGCGGAGGGGCTGCAGCCACCTCAGCACAGCATGTTTCTACAAACACTCCTCATATTGTCCTGACCCTCGTATGCCCCACGTTTAGGCACTGGAGGGTCCCAAACCCCAATTTTAACTGCAGTTCTTAAGCTCGCAGAGCCAAAACGATTTTCAAAGGTTAACTCTATAGTAGGGAGTCATTTTAACAATCCTGATCAACACCGGCCCCAAAAAACAACTTTGGCATCACCCAGCTCCTCCCAGCTGTTTTGATGGACAAACAGGAGGGACATAAAGAAAACTAACATAATTGTCGAAGGCAGATGCCAGCTAGTACTTTTCTCACTTCAGTGCTTGTTGCTAGAGAAAATCCCTCGATAAAGAGCTGGGGGACCTACCCTTCAAGGAGCGTGTGCCCACACCTCTAACCCTCTCTCCACCTCTTCTCCAGAATGTCTCCACCCTCTCTGGGCTCATCAAAATTCAAGTTAGCTGCTTATGGGCCAGGATCCAAAGAAAACTCTACATTCAAGGCGGTTTTCAGCTTATGCCCTTCAAACAACAGGTCCACCACCACATGAGAAACAGCTTTTGAACCAGATGATACAGCTGGTGGGGTTGGGGGTACTGTTCAGAGAGAAACACATTTATATATTTCAAGCTCCTGGTTGCACTTAAAGCAGCTTTTTGGAGCTGGGACTTAGACGTCTGTACATGGCTGGCTCTTAACTGTCCTCGATGCTTCCACATATCTGCCCAGTACATACAACTCTTTTATTTCCAGAGACTGCCTGTCCTAGTCCAACTGGTGCTGCTTCAAAGAATGTGGAAAGCACTCTTTTGCTAAAGTGGGGTTAAGGTCTTAAGCGGAGGGGGCAGAGAAAGAGGAAAAGTAATCCAATGTGACTGGCTCCATAAACAATCAAAAACTGTGCGTGAGTGCAGGCTGCCTGCGGCCCACCCATCAGCCTGGGCTTCGGCAGAAGAGGCTGCCCTGCGATGCTGAAATCCGGCTGCTTTAGTAACAGCTACGGGTTTGCATTGATACGCAGGGCAGAAAGAAATGCCTGGGAGAGGAGCCCCTTCAATTCTCTCCACGATGAAAGAATCTGTGGTGACGCACCAGCTGTTGGGGCACTGCAGAATCCTCCATACAAAGCAACAATAGCTCTTAATACGTCTAAAAAACAAGCACCCCAAACCCAATCTTGCACGCGCGTGTGCACACACACAGACACACCCGGCTGCAAGCAAATGCTTTATTGTTTGTAGACACAGGTGCAGGAGCAAAGCTGCTGTTGGCCCAAACAGCAAGACTCTCCAGGGAAAATCCCGGTCCCCTGCACAGGCCTTCAGCCAACTCATTGCAGGAGCTCGAATCGGTCTCACACGGCCTCTGGCGCTGGCATGTTTTGCTCAGAGGGTTTTACAGGGAAAAATATAGAACCAATTGTCCCGGTAAAAGCAAAGGCAAAACCTGGTCTGGATAAATTTGTTTGGGAGAAACTAATCCAAACCATCAATCACTAAACAGGTTTATGAACTGCGGCTTTGTTTTATCTCTTCACTCAGAGTCTGGGATTATGTAAAACAGGCAGAAAGAGGCAGAACGAGACTTGAAGGCACACTGAGATTAATCCAATACCTCATCCACAGCGCCTTTGTTATGAGCAGTGGAACGCTGGCTTGGCAGGGTGAAAAAACCAGGGCTGACAATCGGAGGCAGACAAGGAACTGCGGCACACGGGCAGCTGTCAGATGCCTCCCCACCCCCCCAGCCGCCCTCCCCACACTTAACCAAATACACCCAATGCTACCAAGTTGGCCCCACCGCATGAACATACTGAAGTACATCCTGGCACTTGTTCATCAAGCAAAGCCTCTGATTAAGGCAGATGCCACATTATTCCAAACGGTTTGGCTGGCTCAGGATACTGTTTTTTTATATTTGCTTAAATATAGGCTGGGGCAGCTGGGACCTACTAGCCACTTCTCTGCCTAAACGTGCATAGTATTGCCCCTTCGGTCAGTCTGACAGGGTTCTGTGATCTATTCCTTACTTTGTGGGACGCAAAGATGTCTGGAGCAGAAAACAGGGACGCTTTGCATTGTGAAACCTGAAGCTATTTCCTCCTAGAATAGAGGCATCCGCCATTTCTTCCTCGGTTTTAGGATAGCTTCGCAAGTAAGTGCTCAGCCAGTTGCTACAGACACCAGGAAACCGTACGCAGCCAGGGACATGCATGAGGCACATGTGCTGGGCTGGGTGACTGGGAACTCGCATCTGCCTCACTGGGCTTAAAAGGGATGCAAGGAAGAGTGTGCTGCACATGTACACGCACGCCTACACGTTCTCACATCCAGACTAGAACTGACTGATAACACTTGCCTTCATTCTGACAGTGTGGCCTTCCGGTCCTTGTGACTGATAGCAACGCGATTTAAATATCTTCATCCAGCCATTCTGTGGGCTCGGGGCCACCTCAGATTTTGGGCTAATGGGCAGTAGCCCCGAAGATCGTTTCTGGAATCCCTGACACAGGCCGCCTCAGCTCACACACGTTTGCCCGACAGGCCTGGGAAAAGAGCTCTAGGCCACCCCCAGTGCAAGCTCCCTTCACTGGCCGCCATCTGCGTGCATCTGATTTGGAGGCCACCTGATGCGCCCACAGAAAAGACACAACGCACCCGCTCAGCTCAACCCAAGCTTAGCCCACTGGCTGGCAGAGAGGAAAAGGCCCCCTCAGGCCGTGCCAACCAGCTCAACAGGCCAGTGACCCTCAAGTCTTCCAAAGGAAGACCAGACCAGACCAGACCAGACCAGCAGCAACAGAACAGGGTCTGCAATGAACAGCAGCCTCTTCTTCAGGCTGACTGGTGGAAAGAAGCGAGGGGACGGGCTGCCAGGCCAAGCAATTCACAACAGAGTGAGTGCCAAGAACATCTTCGAGATGCTCAAAAAAAGCCGTAGCCAGAAATCGACACCTGCAACATACTGACTAGTGCACCAGCCAGGAAAAGCATGTTGACCTGTATTTTGAAACCGAAGTTCATCACTTTGGACATTCTGGGTAGTTGGGTTACTTTTAATGCCCGCTTGATGAGGGTTTCCTACAACGAAACCAGAAGCACAACAGTGCCACCTTGGGGAAAGCACCTCCAAAGGCACACAACTTAAACACTAAGATCAACTACACAGCAGGGAACCTACCAAGCTCCCTCTCCTACTCCAGATGTCCTAACATCCACCCAGTCATCCCCACGCTGTTAAAGTCCCAGCCCCAAGCAGCCTGAAATTATTGATTCAAGCTGCCAGGCACAAGCCCCCCCCCGCCCCCCCCCCCGGCATGGCTGCAAGAGCTGAAGAAACCTTCTGGCTCACCCAAGGAGGTGTGCACACCCTTACGCATCCTCACTGTGCAATTCCCATAGTGCCACAAGTTTGGTCTGACCAGCTTCCAAGGTCTTTCCCAGTGTGTAACTTGGGAGTCAAGACACAATATAAAACTGCAAGTGAATTATCTGTCACACCTTCCTTTCTGCAGCTGAATCACACTGCAATCCCCGTTTTCTCTTTTGACACAAAACTCCTCCACTCCACCCTAGGTTTTTCTAGATTTAAAATGCCTTTTTATATTTCCTTAATGAAGCCATCTTTTTTACACTTCCCCAAGTGGACCTAGTACTTGCTTTGATTTCAAAAACAGAAGCCTAAAGATCAGTGAACACACAAAAGTTAAAGAATGACAAAGGAAACTTGTAATAAAAAAAGATCAAGAAACCTCCCTTCTGAAAATCCACACTTCCCAGGAGGAGGCGGCACAGAACAGTGTGGGAAAGAGGAGGAGATCAAAGGCGGCCCCTTTACAGTCACTCAGGCAGAGCCCGTCCAGCCGAGCCGGGTCTTGTGCTCAGGTGATGCCATGAGACTTGCAGGAAGCTGCGAAGTGTGCCCAGGCCTTTCCACCAGGCACATCTGCTCCAGGTCAGGCAGCCTCTCAGCTCATTGCGGGCCATTCGCATGAATGCGACAGGCAGCCTAAAAAGGGCCATTAGCAAAACCAAAGGGGGTTTTATTGTGGCTCCAGAACAGCAGGTAAGGAGGCAGACGAGGCATACCTTTGAGGGCAGAGGGGTGCAGCCACTTCAAAGCACGGATCTCCCCCACTTGTGAGAATCTTCACCTCACCCTGCCAGTGCTCCCGAAATATGTTCCCACAAAGGGAACATGCAATTGTTTGATACAAGCCCAGGTGTTTTTTGCTTAAGCCAGGAATGACCACCAAACAGCTGCGGGAAACCTCAAGGTCAGGAAGCTGTTCTAGAAGAACTGCTGATTCGGTGCTCAGAAGCACGGTGCCTCTGTTACTCGCAGCATTACTACTACAATTACTTGCATAATGCTTAATAGAGCAGTATCTCTAGGAAATTTTCTTTGCACGGGGGCCAGTCGGGTATCATGGCTGGTAGCCAACCCAGACGTAACCCATGAAGTCCTTTTAAAAGCAATGACAAACTCCTTTTAAAATGACTAACCATCCCTACAGTGTTGTGGGGAAATGAGAAATTCCTTTCAGTACAACCCTCACTCCTTTCAACTAAGGAGGAAGAACCAAGTTGTAGAATAAACCATGGGCCTGTACTTTGAGGCCTGTACTTTCACCCAACAGCAGAAGAGAGCCCTGTCTATCAGGAAAGAAATAAAAAAACACAATAAACACCCCCCCCCCCCCGTCTGGAAGGGAGGCTGGCAGAGCTGGCTGGAGGGCACTTGCTAGCACAAATGATCAAAAGCAGCTGGCCTGTGCCGGCAATAAGCTGGCCTGTTGCTCATCAGCATGAGGGGCAATTCACATTCTCTGGGGGCATGGAGGGAGCATGTGAGCACCACCAACCAAGGAGGGGAAGCAGGGAGAGAAGGCAGGCCCATTCACCTGGAGAAGTGCTCCTCCACCCAGGAATATTGCAGCAGACTTCCTCACCTCCCAAGACAATTCAGGTGCTGTTTACAGCGGGGTGAGGAATGACATCTTCTCTTCCAACATCAAAAGCTGCCCAATACAGAAGGACAATCAGGAAGTCAGGAAAGGGGTGGGGAGAGGAGGGGGAAGCTTCTTGCCCTGCTTGAAACACCTTGGGGGATATGCAAGGCTAGCCCCAATTCACACTTTCCTTCCTCAGGAGCACTCAAGGCTTGTGCCGCATATCAAAAGAGACAGGGCCCAAGGGACAGCCCCAGCCATCACTCCATGAACACGGAAGAACACCAGGGTGCAAGGGAGGTCCCCCCTCCAGCAATGCAGAAAGCAGTTCCCCAAAATCCAAGGCCCAAAGAGAAGATGCAGCTATGCAGCGGCAGGATGCAAGAGGCTACAAACACTGGAAATTCCAATCCAATTTCCCTGCCCTGTAATGTAATGCTTACCCCAAAAACTGAATCCGGGGGATCAGGGTGCAATATTTCTCCCACTTACTGAGGAATAAGTTAGGTACTGTCCAGTTGCCCCCCGCTTATGGTGGCCCTATGCATAAAAGCTCTGTGCTTACTCAGACTTATGTGCAGAGGGTGAAACTGTTAACGCATCCAAACTTGAGAGAACAGCTTTATATCAAACAGTTATACCTCACTTCACAAATAGTTCAGTGATTACAACAATCAGCCAACCTATCAGTTAAACTGAAGTGGGGTGAAGCAAGTACGTACTAAAGAACAAACCAGTGGGCCAAGACGACTCTGGAACAGGCAGATATGTTGTAAGCCTAAATAAACCGCACTCTGCAGCAAGTAGAAGAGTAATGACTGAACTGCCAGCACATGAGCAGTCCGAATCTGGTGCATGACCCAATCTTCATTCCAGGTAAACAGTAATATATCGCTACAGTGAGCAGAGCATTTAACACAGCAATGGACTTCAACTACTACTTTTCTCCCATCCAGAGATACTGACAGTCGATTATGGGCCGGGGCAAAGAAATGCTCACCAACAGCAAAATATCAAAGGAGAATGAGAATAAATCCACAGATGGAGGAAGCTCATGGAGGAGCCCAAAAGGAAAGGAGAAAGAAGCCCAGATGAATATGCAGCGCCACTCGCAAAAACAGCCTGCACCCTCCCCACCCTTCAAAGGACAATAGGTAGGTCAACTTCTCATCAGCAGGGCCCATTCACACATCCATGGCAACATGTGCCTGCTGCAAGGGGGACCCCAAAATGTCTATGGGAACTTGGCTCAAGCCTTCTCCCCACAGGCTGAGTCACAGTGGGCACAGGAGAGATCAGTCCAGGCTGGTTTATATCCTGTGCTCGGAAAACACTCCAAGTTACGTCTGCCTGCTCTGCAACCCTGTTGACTTTGTTTGGAAACAGAACTGAGGGACAGAGCGAGCTTTGGACAGAGGCATGATGAAAAGCAGCAGATAAATGCTTCAGCAGGGGGGTTTAACTCAGTGTCCTGTGCTGGGCAGGTGGCTGGCCTTGATGGCCTCACGAACCCCTTCCAGCTCTGCTATTCTATGGTTCTCAACACTGAAAATATTGCCTAAGATTACTGTTTTTTATTTATGATGTTACTAATTAAGGCAACATAAAGAATCAAAAGAATGGCAAGGTATGATTAATAAGTTTTGTAATGGGGATAAAAAAGCAAGAATAAATTTTAAAAAATCGTATTAATCAGAAAAGATAGGGGGATGGGGTATCCTATGCAACATTTGAAGCGAGGCGACAGAAAAGGAAAAACAAGTGAATACCATGTGCAACATGTACCCTAAGATCCCGGTGGTGGGGAGCACGGTGTGGTTAAGAACTATTTTAAGTGTATGCTTAATTTTATACATTCTTTATTTTAGATGTAGTGTTGTTTTGGTTGTATCTTAGATTAAAAATTAATAAAAATACTTTTAACAGAATGGTCGGAACACTGATGGTACACAGGGGAGTCCCAGGCTCGGGACCCTGATAAAGTTCTTTGCAGAAAATGCAAGAGGAACGCCTCCAGGATACGTGTGTAGACTGCAAATTACTTTCCTCCTACAGAGTCGGCACGAGTCATGATGCTAACCCCACACTGTATCCCATGGTTTGCCTGCCTACTTACCAGTGAAGACACCGGCCAAATTAAAACGACGCCATTGCCTTTGCTGCAGGGAAGTGTGATAGCCGGTCATCACCTGTGCAGCAACATCAAGCACAAAGCGGCCCCTAGTGGCAGGTAGCTAGTTAACAAGCTCAACACACTGGAAAGAAGCGACTTACCTTCACACCATGTTCATCCACTGAATTACTACCTGCCACCAAAAAAACAGACAAGAGAGAAAGGTCATGTTTGTTAACACTGTGCAACAAAGACCCCGAGAATTGCACAGCTGCTGGTACGGTCCTGTGCCACAAGGAGCCAATGTAATTCTATTTTTTAAAACTTACTGGCAAAGGGAAGCAAGGAGTTATCTCCTTCCTTACACACATGCCCAAACACTTACAACATTTTTAGAGGGCCTCTACCAAGCATCAAATGAAGTGAGGCAGACAGCAGCCTCTTCAATAGTGGCACTCTTCAGGGGGGCCTGTCTGGGGTCTAAATTGTGATCTTCTCAGAAATAGGTCAAGTTCTTTGATTTGCCCGTCTTTCAGTCCTTCAGTTTTACAAAATATATTTATATTCAGATCTCAGCACTCCTGTTGCTTTCACTTTGGTATTATTTTGTCAGTGTTTACTTGTAAGGTCTTTATACTACATTTTATCATGAACTGATGGTTTTAACCTCCATTTTGTGAACTGCCCAGAGAGCTTTGACTATTGGATAGTACAAACATAGAACACAACATAACAATAAATGATTTGGCCCATTTCAACCAGAAGAGACACCACCTGAAAATGTGAATCAAAAGTGCAGAAACAGAGTAATTCAGCAGAGAGCTGCCACCACGCTTCTCTGTAAAGCAAGGGGATACACACGCACATAAAGGCTGGGGATTCTAAACTAAGAGAACCTCCAGACATTTATCCAGAGACGCACATTTTGCACATCACAGGTTTTCTGCACAAAATGCCTAATACAGAACTGCCACCCGTGAAGGGTCCACCTTTGGCCCAGGAGGCTCGTACTCCCTGCAGAGGCCTTCCTCCTGCCCAGAGGCCGCCCCGGGGGCCACCCTGTCCCTAGGGAGACAATGCAGAAAGAAATCTCTGTTGCTTGCTCCAAGCTGTGATTTTTCTGCATGCTGGTTCCCCTCCAAAGTGGAAGGAGGAACAGTGCACAGAGCACAACACAGTGCCCTCCAGATGCCTGGGCTTCAACTCCCATCACTCCAGCCAGCATGACCAATGCTCAGGAATAGGGGGACTCTAGTTCAAAGCATCTGGGAGGCACTGCAGTAGGAAAGGTTGCTAAAACACACAGATCGGCACAGGCTTCTTAACACACAAGCCCTGGTGGATCTTCCAACAGTAACTAAAACAAATTCAAGCCACCTGCAGCAATAACAGCTAGAATTTACCTTCGGGGAGCCCTCCCAGGGAGAAGATCACATGGCCAGCCCAAGCAGCCACAAACATGGCCAGAGAAGACACGGTGGGGCTAACCACTCTGTCCAGCAGAGGCCTGTCCTGGCAGCCAGTTTATACAATGCCGCCAAGCTCACGCCATTCTTCAAGCCTCATGGACAGCCAGTGCGGCATGGCAGCTGGAGCGCTTTGTTCCCCTTTGGCCACAAAGCTCACTGGGTCATCTGGGATGAAGCTCAGTTTCACCTCTACCTCAAACGGTGGTTGTGAGAGAAGGAATATTAAGTACACTGTCTTGGGTTCCTCATGGGAAAAACAGTAAATAAATTCGAAACTGCATCTGGAGAACAGTAACTTGTACCAGGAATTTTCACCATCCAGAGGCCTGGAGACAGCAATGCCTCAAGGAGTTGTTCTGAAAACACAGCCTCAGCACAGTGAACAGACTTCATTTCCTAATGCTGAATGGGATGTGGGACCACCTTACAGCACAGAGCTTCTTCCCAGTGAATCAAAGAAAACTTACCAAAGATGTAGATAACCGCTATACCGCTGCCAGCTCCCATAAGCCCTGCTATCCTGAGCACCATCTTCTTTGCATATGCAGTGTTTTCCTTCTGTTTTTTCTTCTCTTGCTGCTCATCCGCGCCTTCTCCATCTCCACCTTCTGTTGCCTAGAGAGGGAAAAAGTTATGAGAGTGGGAAAGGGAAGAGTTTGCCAAAGTTAGAGTAGCCATTTCAGTACTTCAGTCAAACTGACACTGAATTAAACAAGTAGTTTCTGATTATGGATACCTACTAAGTAAAGAATCTGACCACTTGATTCAATGTCAGCACTAAGGTCTGCCCATGCAGATAATCGTTCGGATTAGGACTACAACATGCAATTGATTTGCTTATTAAATTAGTCAACTAGAGTTTAGAGAGGGGGAAAAACCCACAACATGCCCCAGTCAACCATGGGGCATGCTGGGAGTTGCAGACCTTCCTCCTGTCTAAACATACATAGAGCTGTACTTTTAAGAATTTCTTAGAGAAAGGAAAAGCACCAATTAACTGGGACAGATTTCAAATATGTATCTAATATCAGCATTTACGAAAGATGTGGACGGTATGCACCATTTCTGAGAACACTCATGCCAAATCTGCAAGTCTTCAAATGCTTCACATTACACCTTCTCCCCTTCGTCCTTGGGCATGAGCTGTACCTGGGAACAAATGCACATGCTTTGCACAAACTGAGCTGCAGCAATCTGCAAAGACGGTCCCAGGTTCACTCTGCAGCTCTTCCGCTTAATGGCATCTCAAGGATTTGGTATGTGGTCCCTGGCACCTTCACTTACAAGGGGTCGCAGCCAGCCAGACTAGGAAGGGCGGGCCGAGCGGCGGGACGGGCAACTCCGGGGGCTTTGGTCTGCAGTCCCCACCAGCGCCCGCCAACACAGGCAGCAGTGCGGGAGGCCGCGGAGCAGAGCAGATTCTGGCAGGCCAAGCGTTCCCGCCCCGGCCAAGCACACCTTCCCCCACAGGCTGGGGCCTCCAAAGGGCCGGCCGGGGGCGATAGCTGCTCGCCCTTAACCGCCTTGAAAGGCCCCAGGCCAGACCGCAGGCGGCCTCCCGGGTCGTGGTCTCCGCCGCCGCCGCTCTCCCGCTTCCAAGGCCGCCGCCGCCTCACCTGCTGCTGCTGCTGCTGCCGCACGGCGTCCCTCAGGACGGCTCCCGTCAGGCTCGTCGCCGCGGCCGCCGGAGAGGGGGCGTGAGGCGAGGCCCCCGTGCTGCACTCGCGCCGCAGCACGACCCAGGCTCCGCGCTGCTTCCACCGCCGGCAGCAGGAGCCGCCGGCGGAGGCGTGGAGCGCCCGCAGCCCGCCCGTCAGCGCCGCCACCGACCAGGCGCGCGCCGCCGCCGTGACAGCGGCCATCTTGCTTCGCTTGCCGGGATGGCGCACGCGCCGGCCCGAACCTATCAGGGGACGAGGCAGGGCGGCACGAGCGCCCGCCCATTCCTTCTTCCTCGGCTCTCCCGAGCCAACCCGCCGCGGCTGGTAGATCCTCCTTCCAATAGGGAGCCTGGTGCACGCCCCCTTAACCAAGCCGCAAGTAGGGTTGGTCGGGCTTCCCCGCCCACCGGTCACCTCTCAGCCAATCGCGACGAGCGAAAGGAAAGGAAGAGGGCGCCCACTGGGCTGACGGTTTAATTTCATCGGCGCGGGCTGCCCAAGGGGGAAGTTCGAGCGGAGGTGCCGCCACGGCCAATGGGGAGAATCGACGCGTAAGTGGGAGACTCGAAGAGGGAGGAGTCCGCCCATTGGCTGGAACTCGAAGTGAGGCGCGCCTGCCCTTGCCCTGATAGGGCGCCGCCGAGGTCAAGGGGCGGGACACGCGCAGCACGTGCTCCCCGGAGCCGCGCCGTCGCGAAGGGTCGTCCGCGAACGTGGTCGCAGCTCCTGCCCGGAGCGCAGGGTTGTGCCTCCCCTCAGGACGCGGCGGGCGGCTCATCGCAACCGATCCCGCTTCAGGCAGGTGTCCGGAGAGGCCCGGCTGCTGCCAAACCCGCTAGGCAAAGCTGCCGCTTGAGCAGGACCGAACGCCAAGAGGCAGCGGGCTCTATGCCCGGCAGACCCTGGCCTTCAGGGCCAGGGCAGTTGAAGGATCTCTCCCATAGAAAAAGTATTTAATCTTAAAGGTTTTACAAGGAGCAGGGCAGTGCTATTTGACCTCATCTTTAGTGTATGGTTACTAAACACCGGGCTCCAGGGGCAAGGCAGAAATCTTGAACAGGATGGTTTCTCTCTTGAGAGCAAACACAGTACTTATGGAGGGGGTATATGGAAAGGTTTTATTAAAACAAGCTACAGGCTGGATGTTCTGGTGCTGGGAGGGGGCATAAGGTGCTACAGAGGGAGAGAGAATGCATTCCATTCCCTGCATGTCTTCTGCTGAAGTCAGTTTATGCTCAATGGCAAGGTAGTCCTCCACCCTCAAAAGAGTAAAGGCCCCTGCCAGGCTGGGGAAGTGAGCAGGCAGCACGCAGACACGCACACACAAAAATAAAATATCCTCGGGAGCAAATCTGTACAGAGACATTCTGCAGCGGTCTGCAGGCAGTGTGCTACGAAAGCTACGCATATCACGCACAAACTATTCTCCATCGCTCTCGGCCTCCAGCAGCTTGCCAAGGAAGCGCAGATTAAGGATCTTGAGTTGCTCTTCCAAGTCCATGCGGACAATGCCATCTTCTCCATCGATGCTCAACAGAACACCGGTAGCCTCCCTGTCTTCTCCCAGGATGACCTTCACCTGCAAGAAGGAACCAGCTCAGGGTCCTGGATCTGGAAATGTGATGGGGGATCCAAATACCACAGGCCCAAGCATGGGTGGGCAGGCCAGCTCAGCTCAAGTTATGCTCCCCATGGTAATTCCTGGCTGGTTGTAGGGAGGCCAAAGAGAAGGAAGCAAGTCAACCAGTCAGCAGCAATGAGGCAGTATGACCCTGGCTGCCAGCTTCTGCATGGGGAGCGTGCATGGAGAGCGCGGTGTAGGCCGCTACACCAACCGGGAGCTAGCCACTTCTTGAAGCCCGACACCACCAGATGCCCACCCCTATATGTAACACTGTATGGGAAGCCAGGGGTAGTACCTCCCAGAACAGCTGAGGCATGCTGGGAGTTGTAGTCCAACACATCTAACCTTCTCCCAATAAAAGCAGTGTAGCTGGCAACTAGATGGTGCTCCCCATGCCGTGTCATTTTTTTGCGCAAACAGCGGGGAGGTGCAGGATGCCTCTTCCTATTCCTTTTCACCTACCTTATTGCTCTTGGTTGGGGTAACAGGCTCCAGGTGTTCACTGGAAATACTGACCACCTTCTCACTGTCCTTAAGGTAGACTGAGCACATCCCACCCTGCCAGGTCACAGGAGGAAGAGGAGGAGTAAATAACCAAGAGATAATACACAACAGATACAAATTTGCTCCACACCCTCCTTTCACAGCCTCCTGAGGCAAAACCTGACCAGCAGGTGAAAAAGGTCCACAATCTCATGCCAGGCGGCTTTGGGCAACTACCACCCCTCCCATCTGCACGGCTGTGGGGCTAGATGAGATACGAGATCAGTTAGACGCCATATGCACAGAAAAGACTACAGGGCTGGAAGGCTTGCCACGCACTGGCTGAGGCCACACACGTTTTTCCCAGTCTTCTTGACAGACGTTTCAAAGCAGCAGCTGCACGGTGGCTGTGCAAGTCCTGGGGCTCAAGCAGAACCTGACTGTTCTGGCTGATGGGGCTTGCAGTCCTAGGAAATGGCTCCCTTGGGACAAAAGGGGCTCACAATCTCTGGGGAGGGGAGAAGTGCGAGGTACCTCTGGGGAGCTCCCACCCTTCCAACAGAAACAGTGCTGGTGGGAAGAAGGTGCCCACCCACCACTGTCTGCCACACCTCAGGCAAAGAGCCCACCTGGGTGGTTCCCCCTGACTAATCTTGAGCCACTGGCCTGGGAAACGGGTGCTCAGCCGATGCCGCCTTCCTCGGAGAGGGCCCTCGGCTGGACAAGACGCTGCCTCCGCTCTGGCTGCATCTGCACACTGGGGATCTCGGCCATCCACCCTCCCACCCCGTCCCGCCACTCCCCTCCGCTTCCCAGCCAGCTCATGTGAACCGGTGTCCGTGTCCGTCCACTTACCGTCACGCTGCGGATGACTCCTGTCTGCCCCACGACCTGGCTGTCCAAGTAAGTGTCACGCACTTGGACCTGGATGTCGGTGGTGACCCAGTCGCTGGAGCTCTGCTCGATGCCCGAGCCCGGGGTGTGCGGGTTGTAGCCTCCCGGAGAAGGAGCGCCTGGGGTCATCGGACTGTAGCCCACTGGGCTGGGGCTGGGACTAGCCTGGCAGGGAAAGGGGAGAACGGGATCGAGTGCGGCAGGACGTCAAACCGATTGCTGCTCGTTGCCGAGAAGTGCCAGAGACAAACCAGATTGTGTCTCCCCGTGCTTCTGCAACCTCCAGTACCTCCCAGTGGATGCCTGAAGCACGGCCAGCCAGCAGTGGGACAGCTGCCCCGAGCAAAGCGCAGGCTCCTGCTGACCGACAACTTCTGGAACTCAGCTGTACTTAAGACCCCGAGACCGTCCTCCTTGCTTTTGGAAAACGCAGCACTCGGCCGCCTTCATCTGCAGCTAAATGCACCGTGAGCACGCTCTGGCTCCACAATGCCCCAGCCAGGGATGTGTCAACCCTGCATCCCATCATCCACATGCACCCTCGCTGTTTCCCAGGCCTAATTCCAGGGGCCACGTTCTCTCCATGGAGCCTGCAGAGCTTGGACCTTGTATGTGGCAAGGACTGTCTCCTCCTTTTCCTCAGCCGAAAGTGGGTATTTTCCTCTTGGCTCTGCGAGGGGAAACCCTCCCCTCCGCCCACACGCCGAGGCAGCGTGAGCCTTTCGGCTACTCTGTGGGGGGGCCGGGAGGCGTCTCCTTCGGAAGTCCTTCCTCCCCAGAGCGTGGCCAGGCTGCGCTCATCTAGGGGGCATGAGCCTCGTAGTCTTCTAGGTTGAAGCAGGTGCCTCAAACACCCGTAAGCTCAGTTTTCTTTCATGCTGACCAGACTACCAGAATCTGATGAGGTATAAGCCAAGTTCCCTGATATTCTGAAGCACGCCCAGCCACGAGGTCGGAAAATGGTCTCTTGGGGCAAAAAGAGACGCAAGGGGCTCTGGGGGTCTTCCCAGTATTTCGAATGCAAACCTCTCAGAGCTTTTAGTTAGGACACCCAGGGGCACAGAAGCTGCACGCTGGATGCGGACAAACGGAACGGCAGCAGGAGGCAAGCCCGGCTCTTCCCTCGCCGTACCTGGTATGCCATTGGCGACGGTGTCGGGTGGTAGCTGGCCGGCGAGTGGGTGTTCTGGTAGCCCACCGGACTGGGTGCCACCTGATGGAAGCTCTGGGGACTCGGGCTCGGCTGGTAGGAGCCTTGGGGGGATGGGACCGCATACGGCGAAAACTGGTCCGTGTTGTACCTGCCACGGGGAGGGGCCGTCGGTGAGGAACCGGAAGGGGCCCGTGCACACGCCTCCCCTCAGTCCCGACAGCGGCTCCGGAGCAGGGCCTGGGCTCAGGCAGCCCCAGAGCAGCGCAGGGAACTGTTCGGGGGAGCAGCCTCGGAAGGCAGCAAGCGACGTCGACGGCTGCTGTCAGGCGAGCTTCTGCCAAGGCTCGGTGCCGTCACCCTCCCACTGTCGCTTGGAAGGAACCCCAGCGCTGCTGCCAACCCATCCCGACAGACGGAGCGCTGCTCTGCCCCCTCCTCCGTGTGGACTGCGAGGCCCAGAGCGGCGGGCCGCCACCAGGGAGCCAGCGCTCTGTGGCAGCGCCTCTGGTGGTCCCAGGGTGGACCCCGGCAGCCTCTCCAGCTGGGGCCGGAAGAATTCCTGCTCAAAGCCCCGCAGGGCTGCCGCCGGTGCCGGCGGTCGGCATGGACGGACCAGCGCCCCCACGCGCCTCCAGCCCATCGCTGGCGCACTTACATTGCCGGGGTGCCGGGCGTCTGAGGGTTGTACGGAGGGTTGACCTGCGGGGAAGACGGGTCGGGATAGCCAGGGGTCTGTGGGTTGGGGGTTCCGCCATAGCCTTGTGGAGAAGGGGTGGGCTCGTCGTCAAAGCCGTAGTCGAACTCCTCCTCTGCCCTGTGGACGAAGACCCACAAAGCGGTCAGGCTGGTGCTGGGGGCTTTGCGCCCGCAGCCCCCCTTCGTTCCCGGAGCGGCGCTGCTGACCTGGAGGGTGTGTTGGGGTTGCTGGGGTCCCATGCTCCACTCTGCGCAGGCGTCCGGCTGCCATCGTGCAGCGGTGTCTGGGAGCCGTAGTGAGGAGTCCGGTTGCCTGAAAGACAGGCAGGCAGGCAGGCAGGCGTCACGTCTCTTCCCATTAACACTCACAACCAAGGCCAGGGAGGGAGGGAGGGAGGGAGGGAGGGCGTGACGCTCACACTGCACTGCCTAAATCCTGCAAATTCCAGGCAGCTGACAAGGGTTTCCCCTCCTGTTATCCTTGTGCTTAAAATTGTCCCTGTGCACAAACCAGGGCAAGAAATCTGACAAAGGAAAACTAGAGGGATGCAAGCTAAATACAGAGAGGCACCTGTCTGCGTCAGTCAACTTTCCCACACTTAAGACATTTTGGCTTCAAAATATAATTAAAATGATAACTGTCAAATGAGATGGTCAAGAGGAAGCGTGAGGTCAATTGCTGCAGCTTCTCCTTGCCTGCACGCATGCATGCACTGCTGCGCCCTCTCCTGCTCGGGGGCTGGAAAGCAAGGAACCCCCCCCAGCTCCCTCTTCCCTTAGACCCTGGGGTCCCGCCCCCTCCCTCCACGGGGAAGAGAAGAGGGCGCCTGCCCTCCGCCGGCCACTCACCATCATGCAGCGGCGTCTGGGAGCCGTACATGGGCGTGCGCGATCCTGAGCCGTACATGGGGGTCTGGGAGCCGTACATGGGGGTCCGCTCGTAGGTGGTCATGCCGCCTGGTCTTCTTGAGCCACTAGCAAAGGAAGAAAAACGGTTGATTTGACCGGAACAGAAGCTGGCTCGTCCTCCTCTCCCGCCCTGCTCTGCTCCCTCTGCCAGAGAGGATTCCACGCCAGCTCAACAGCACCAGGGGAACCCCGCTGCTGAAAGCGAGCGGTTTCACAGGCACGCCCAGCGCGAGCGTGCCCGGAGCCCCCCACCCCACGCGGATGCCTGAGCCTGCCCCGCTCTTACACTGTGGTGAGGCGCTGCCGGTCCACCGAGATGGTCTGGCAGGTGGAGTGCAGCTCCACGCGGGCGGTGGACTCCGTGGCATCCTTCACCACCCCGATGTAACCTGGAAGAGGGGGCACGGCTGGCTGGGGACAAATACCCAGGGGGACAGGCCGTTCCGCCCCAGGCCGAAGAAGCCGCTTCTTCATTCGTGCGGATTCTCAGTGCTCCGAACGAGGACGCCCAGGATTATTATCCTGCGGGTGGTGACTTGGGAAGCGGCACGTTTCATGCCAGGGGACTGCTAGCATTTGGGCCCCACAGGACGACTGCTGTCGGGCTCCACACCACCAAAGCCAGGAACAGCCAGCCGGGCTGCAAGCAGCCTTGAATTCAAGACTGGGCGGGAGGGGGCGGCTACCCTATTTCATCTCGGCCAATGTTCTGGAGAGCAAGGCCCTGGGACTCCAGCCTCACCAGCAGTCCCGAGGCCCCGGCCCTTTGCGGTTACCCAGCCTCCTTCCCAAAGCCAGGACCAGACTGCGGGACGTCCCGCCCGGGCTCCATCCTTTCCCCAGCTGGCATCAAAGATCACCAAAGCACTCGTAGAGTGCCTGGGAGCGCAGCAAGGATTCCACGCGATCCCGGCTGGCTGCACTCCGCCGGAAGGGCGAAAGGGAAGAAGGGGACACCCGGGGAGCGTTCGTGCCATCAAGGGGGGGGGGGCTCACCTTTGTAGGGCCCTTGGGAAATCCGCACGGTTTGCCCGATAAGGTCGTTGTCCCTGCGCCCACGACCGTGGCTCATTCCGCCGCCGCCGAAGCCGCCCATCTGGTCTGGAGAGGGGGAGCGCATCATGCAGGGCGATCCCGCCAGGCACACGCCTCCGTCACAGAAGGGCCCCGTTTCAATCCTTCGCCTCCCCAGCTAAGCAGCCCTCGGGCTGGGGAAGGCCCTTCTGGCTCCAGGCCTGGGACAGCTGCCGGCCCGGCTGGGCCACGTGCCCTGGAGACAGCGGCTGGGCACGTTCCGTGGCAAGGAAGGCCACGGGACCCAGCAGGGGGCCGTGTGCGCCAGCAGGGAGGGGTCCCAGGTGCCCTCTGCCGCGAGAGGCCTCGGTGCCTTTCCCTGGCACTGCTGTGCCGCGGCCAGGGGGGAAAGCAGGCGTGCCCGAGTCCGCTGGCTCACCTCCCGCACTGGGGTGCATGGGACTGTTGATGCGCGGGCTCATGGGTGGCGCGTCGCCAATGGTGAAGTCCTTGACGTCCCGCGGCTGCAAGAAAGGAGCTCCCCAGTAAGCCGCCCCAGCCAGCGCCCCTGGGCAGCCCAGGGGACACGCGCACGGCGGCTGCTCCCACTCAGGCCAGAGGCTGGATCCGGCCCAGCTGTGAGGGCAGCAACACGCCCACCGCCATTCCACAAGCCGAGAGAGAGCCCGCCGTACCTTCGAGCCTCCGGCCAGGACCAAATGGCGAGTCTTGCACACAAACATGCCCCCGTTCTCTACCAGCTTCTTGCAATGCAGGAAAGCGGAGCCCCTGTACAGGTGACGGATCTCGCCTTCCCGGCCCTGGAAGAAGGGACAGGGGCAAGAGGTGTTCCGAGTCACCAAGGTGAAACAGACCGGCCCTTCCTGGGGGTGGCACTGCTGGAATGCGCCGGAACCACGCAGAAACAGTGCCACTGGGGCCACGGGCGCCTCCTGCACGGTTAGACCTGACCCTGAAAATGCTGCTATGCTAGCGATGGCACAGAGGCCCAGCAGCCCGGCTGGATGCTGGCCAAAAAGCAGCAGGAACCAGCCCTGCCTTAAACAAAACCGAGCAGGTCCTTGCAGGTGTTCAACTGGCGGCAATGAGGGCCGAGGCAACGGCTCGCGCTGGAGGCCAGAGCCGCGGGCGCCGCGCTCCAGACCTGGCCCAGCCGTGCCCAAGAGGGTGGGCGGGAGGCCCGGTGGGGAGCTGAGCCCGTGGTGGCTGCGCCCTGGCCGGGCTGCCCCTCCTCACCGAGTGCGGCCCGTCGATGACTTTCACGATGTCCTTCACGTGGATGTTGTTCTGCTCCGAGTCGAGGGCCACGGCAAACCGGTTGTCCTTCTTCCGGTTCACCGCCTGGTGCCTGACGGTCACCACTTTCCCGTGCATGTTGAGGACCTGCGGGAAGCGAGAGGCTGCTCTCACGCAACTCTCCTGTCGGCCTTGTTCCCGCAACAACCCCCCTGTGAGGTAGGGCTGGGCCGAGGGGCTGTGACTGGCTCAAAGACACCCAGTGGGCTCCATGGCTGAGTGGGCCTTGAACCCGGATCTGCGGAGTCCAGCCCTGCATTCTTCGCCTCTGCACTGCTGCCGAGTGACCTCAAGCAGGCACTCTGGCTTCCGGCCGTAAGGACCCCTATTTTTAGACCTGGGAATACGCAACCAGAAAAAAAGAGACAGGCAACGGACGACGTGAGCCAACCCACCACGGATGTGCGCAGCAAACGGCACCAACAGCCACGGAGCAACGGAGCAGGGCAGACTCACCTGGAAAGTCTCCCGCTCCAGGCGGACGATGACTCCAACCTTCTGGGGGTCCAGCTGTACCAGCTCTCCCCACTCGTGTTGCCCACCCACGTCCACGCCAGAGGCCGTCTCCGAGCAGAGCTGGAGGTCCCGGGGGAGGACTTTGAGCTGCGGGAGTGGGGAGGGGGGGAGAGGAGATGTGACCTTCAGATGGTAAACTGGGCGCCCTACATAAACAAGCCCCAAGTCGGAAAATCGGGACAGCAAGCTGGCTCCGCTTTGAAGGGCAGCAGCTGCAGCACCGTCTGTATCTTCATTTGCAAACACTGACATCCCAAAGTATGTAATCAACTCTTGCAAAGTTTATTGTAAGTTTATAGTTATTTATAAACCTGCCCTATTGGCAAGCGCTAGCTGCATTCATAAGGCATTCCCCACAACCCGACCCCTGAGAATTGCTGGATTTTTGACCTGGGAAAGAAAGGAGGATGTTAGGGAGGACTGGGGCTTGCAGGGAGGGGAGGTGCCCCGAGGCCTGGGATGGGTGGCATGAGGCAGAGCCACCAAGGAGCAACAGGCTGGAGAAGGCTGAGGTAGACCAAAGACCTTGATCAAAAGGAGTTCAGAGCAGCGGGGCTGAACACTAAATTATAGAAGGGATTTTAAAACCTCAATACAAATCCGGATAATGTATACACAATGTAGTTCCACAGGACTACAGAAAAGCTACATAATTGGGCATGGGAGACAAAATTCAACCGGGAATCTTTTATTGTTTCTAAAGTTTCTAGCCCTCATGCGTGTGAAAATATGCTTGAGAACATACTTCACCAGCATTGCCTGGTGGTGGCTCTGTAGGGTTTCCTGCTCCCGAGGAGTAGGCAAGGCACCGCTCCGAGCCCCAAGTGGCAAAAGACCAGAAGCGGGAGATACATGATGCCAAATGGCTGGAAGGACGCCGCAGCCCCATCGTTGATGCCAGCCAGCTAACTGAGCAGTGCTCTGGTGCAGAGTTTTTACAGCACATGGGACAAGAGTATGGACCAACCCAGAAGAAATCCTGACTTGGAACCAGAGACAAAGGAGGGGCCACAGGCCTGCAGGAGGCACAGGGGCACATGGATCCTGGAGTCTCAGCACAGCCCTGGCTACTGGAAGCTTCTCCACTCCCCAGAGACTTAAGGAAGCAGCTCCCTCTCAGTTCCTGAAACGGTCAGACCACCAAATGCTCCACGTAACCGTAATTCAAACGCGGGGCTTCATGTCACAGCAGGCTGCATGGGCTGGTGGATACGCCTCCACGCAAGAGCACGCAAGCTCTGCTCTGCCACTCACCTCGTGCATCGTGAGGTCGGAGAAGAGGATGACGAAGTTCTCCTCCACGCGCACGATCAGGCCCGTGTCGCCCTCGAAGCGCCCAGCGATCACCTTCACGTGGTCCCCCATTTTGAAGTACTTGCGCAGCTCCTGGGCCGGGAACTCCAGCATGTCCTGGGTGGCCAAGGCAAGCGGGGGGAGGTGACGGGGGGGCAGGTCGCAGCGGGCGGAGGCCGCTCGCCCAAGGGCACCGGCTGCCTGCACTGCCCCTCACCAGCCCCCGCAGCGGGCCGAGGGAGCGCTCTGAGACACCATGACGGAAACAGGCAAGACTCAGGCTCACTCACGAGGAGGAAAGCTCTTGATCGTGCACAAGGGAACAGTGAGCCAGCTTTCAAAGCGTGCAGCGGCTTGCGTACAGCTTTGCGCACTCGACGCCACATCGCCTGAGGGAGGGGGGGAGGGCTGGAAGCCCGTACCTTGAGGTCTTCGTGCTTCGGCATGATGGTGATCTTGTTACCGTCCACGCTCAGGATCTTGCCCTGCAGGTTGATCAGCTCCCCTTCACACACCTCCACATTGTCCCCAGGCTGGAAGTTGTGCTCGCGTTCCTTCCCTGGAAGCCACAAGACGAGGGGTGAAGCGCGCAACCCCCGCAAAGTCCTTGCGTGGGCAAAAGGGGCACGGCAACCCGCAGGAGGTGGCAGAACGTGGCAGGTCTCACTGGTCCTCTGGAGTGAAAGGCAGGCCCGGGCAGGTCCGCCCAGGCCCTCTTGGCCAGGAGCGCCGTGGCCGGGAGGCCTGGCGCCAGCAGAGGGAGAGGGCAACCAGGAAGGTGGGGCGAGCCCAGGCCGCCACCGTCGCCGCACCTGTGCTTTCGGTCACCACCTCCAGGTCGATGCCTTCCGGCTGGTCTTCAAACTTCTCCAGCTCAGAGAGAGTGGGCTTCACTCCTTCCGTGATCTGATGCCCAGGAATGGCAATCGGGGGACGGAAAGGGAAAGGACACAGGGCTGACCAAAGAAGGCTGGGGACGAGGGCGGGCCCCGTCCACACCAAGCCTGACGAGCACCAGCGGGAGACCCGCAGGGCCCCACCAGGACCGGGCCGGACCAGCGCAGTCATGTGACGCAGCCGGACTGCCCGCCCCGCTCAGGTTCGCCTCCGCCATCCGGCCTTGTGGCGGCTGCCCTGTGCTCCCCGGCCTCCTTCCGGCCTCGCCTCCCGCCTCTGCCTCCCGCCGCCTGCTCTCCGGCCCGCCCCCGCCCCTGGCTCTGCCTTCGGCTTTGGCATGCCACGCCTCGTCAGTACCTGGCCTGGCTGCACCTCCACACCTGCCGGGTTGCCCCCCAGAGGCCTGGACCTTGAACGCCACACCTCCTGCCGCTTCCGCTGCTACAGCTAATTCTACGGCTGGGATGACTTTCTCCAAGAAAGGAGGCCACTCAAGGTGCCCTACAACAGCCAGAGGCAGCGGGAGGGAGCTCCCTGCCTCGATGCCCTGGAGCACGCCGGCCACCCGCCCCTTCTTCCTCTAGACCAAGGACCTGAATAAAGAATCCTCCCAGAGTCCTCCTCCATATCCCGGCCCCACAAGGCCCCGATCCTCACCACAGCAGACATCGCAAAGCTCTTGAAGAGGAACCCTTTCCGGCTGTAGCGATTCCCTTCAAAGATGAGGAAATCCCCGTCGGAGGCCACGTCACCACCCAAAGACCTGGAATCGAAGAGGGGCAACGGAGCGGCTGAGCCAGGTTCCTGGAAGGGAGCCGTGGCCGAGACAGGACTCAGAACGGGCTGCGCCTGCGGCAGCAGCGGACACGATCCCCAGGCCTCGGCAGCAGCGTCACGAGAAGCCGGTGCTGGAGAGGGTGGTCTTCCGCCAGTTCCCCAATCCTGCAACTTGCTCGGCTGGTCCACCCCGCGTCCCTCTTCAGCCCCAACCTCCAGACACCACCACCGGGGCCGTGGGCGCCCACTGTCCCCACCCTTCCCGAGACCCTCACCTGATCTTCTCGGCATCGAAGAGGCGCTGCGGGGGACGCTTGAACTTCTTCCGTTTTGCAAACCAGTCTTTCTGCGGGGGAAGAAGGGGCAGCGTTGCCACAGGAGCCGGGCGCCGCACTGCATGGCCAGCACAACCCTCACAAACCCCCCAGGAACTGCCCTGTGAGGGAGGCCTTGGGAGGCCTCCATCTCAGGAGCATCCTGGAACTTGGCCACGAAAAGGAGCCAGCAGAACAGCGGCTGCTCCGGCGTTGAACACACAAACGGGTTAAAGCGGAACCCTCCCTCCTTTCCCAGGAGCTGCTAGGGCTCCAGACGTGCTGCGCTAGAACCTTTTCAAATGGAAGTCAAAGACCTTTTTATTTACAGAACCACTCGGAGCCCGGCTTGCTGGATTTGGTATTTTTAGGAGATACACTTGTTGTATTGTAAATAATTCTACTGCTGTGGGTAATTTTTTCGTTGATTTTATGAACGCAGTTGCTATGCACTCCCTCGGGAAAAAGGCAGGATATAAACACTTAAAAGATACAACCTCCCATCATCTCTAGCTAGCAGGGACACATGAACAGGAGATGATGGGAGTTGTAGTCCTGGGAGACAGCCCTAGCCAGGGGAATCTAGGAGGGGGCAATCAGCCAGTGAATGCGAAGCAGAGACCCTGGGAAGCCTGAGAGAGGGTCTCTCTTTGCTCGCTGAAGGACTGCTCCTGCGAGCTCAGCCAGCATACCAGACTCATGCGGGCTTTGATGCGGTCAAAATCAATGCGCGGAATCATCTTGAGGGAGATCTGGTTCTGGCTTGGCTCCACGTAGTCCACCTGAAGAGAAAGGAAGTAGCGGAAAACGTCACCGAGCAGGGCGGATGTGGCCACTGGCGGGTCAGGCGAGAGGCAGGCTCACCCACAATCCAGACCCCGCGATCCCACGAGCTGACAGCGCGGGAACCACCCAGCAGACCGGCCTTCCCCAGCCCGCTGGCCTCCGGCTCCCATTATCCCCAATCAGCCCAGCCACCTAGAGGGCACCAAAACAGTGAAACAGCGCTGGGCAAGCTGCATGCTAGAAACCTTTTCTCATTAAGAAGCTTGTCTGGCTGGGAAGAAGAGTTTTGCCCCCAAACGCCCCCGGCAAAGGGCGGGGGAGGACCTGTCCAGCTTTGCTCACTTAACTCTGCCATTTTTCCTACCCTGCATGGTCTGCAGAAAAGGCCCCAGAGAAGAAACAAGGACAGACCCCAAAGGCTTCTTGCCACCGTGGCTGCCTCAAGACTCCACACCGTGCGGGTGTGTTCTGCTAAACTGGATGCTCAGCGGCACCAAGAGCTGGCCAGGCCGGCCTACCTGAGCGATGTCGTCCTTGTAAATCCCCCGCTTGAGGCGGACCCAGGACTTGGGCTTCAGGTTGGTCACCTCCTTCACCACCTTCAACACGTCCGTCATCTCCTTGATGGGCACCATCTGCTGGTTCCAGTATCCCATCCGGAGGTTGCCCACCCCTTCGATGGCCTGCTTCACATGAGTCTGCTTGTAAGCCTCCACGTAGATGTAGCCTTTCACGTGCTCGGGGGCCACCACCGACTTGATCTGCAAGGGCTGCGGAATTTGACACGAGGAGGGGGGCAGGAAGAGGCGCGTGAGCTGAGGGCCCAAGGCACCCTGGGCACGCGCCAGAGCAGCGCGGGAGCCCTCGGGACACAGAAAAGGGCTCTGCGGCGACACTTGGTGCGGTTACCGCTGCTTCAAGGGAGTAAGTGAGCCAAAGAATGCATGGGCCCAGCCAGCTCCACTGTGCTGCCCCCCGACCACAGGAGTGACGGACGGGGACGTCTCCTGGCCTGCGAAGGATGCAGCGGCACCTCATGCAGGGGCATTCTCCTCTCAGCCACTGCTCTCTCTCCCCGGGGCGGGGGGGGGGGGGACCTGGGCACATACGATTTTTTGCACCCGGGCTACTTTCAAAATCCCCCGCAAGTAGGGCTGTGATGTTACAGGAGTGTAGGAAAGGTTTGCCCTGGGATACTGTATGCGGAAGGCAGCGTTTGATACTCTCTGTTTCATTGTTTAAATAAAAGCGGCTTTCCACACATCACGAGTTCAGAAGATGGGCCCCAAAACCCCATGAAGTACTACTTGGCATGATTGCAAATGCTAGAAAGACAGTCAAACGTCTCACAGAAAAAATGAGGGCTGGGACTGCAGAAGCACGGCTGAATATACAAAGCAGTCACCAGGACAGAAGATACGTAAAACCAGAAAGGCATGCAAACAGATTTAAATGCAGGATTCAGAATTCAAGCCCGCTCAAGGCAGGATTTGTTATGTAATGGAGCCCAACTACTTTACATAAGTGCTACTTCTTAGTGAGGCAGCAAAACTGGCTTCCCGTATCTTTGGGACCTAATTCTGAGTTGAAGAAAGATGCAAACGTCACAGTCTTCCCCACTTTCCACCCAACTCACCGTGTCAGTGAACTGATAGGCGATGAACTTCCTCATCAGGGCAATGGCCGTTGCGCGTTCCTCTCCGATCTGGAGGCCGGGATGGGGCAGGGCAGGAGACGAGAGGAGCGTCAGAATGAGCAGTGCTGCAGGGGGGCAACTGACGGAGCCCAGGTGACTCTGCCGCCAAGCAGCCCGGTCAAGGTCCGGGTTTTCTGAAGCAGAGACTCACCTTGCATTTCACAGTCCACAGGTTGGGGTCCCTGGGTGGGGGGAGAACAAACAGGACGACGTAAGTTCGCTGCAGCCAGGTTAGTGCCACGGCTTCTCTCACGTCGGGACGGGGGCATCTTAGCCGAGCCCCGCGGCCGCCGTCCCACTCCCGGACCCCACGTTCCCCCGAGGTCCTTGCCCTGTCAGTCCCACAAGGGGGCTCCCGCTCAGACCAAGCGGCATGCCTGGGACACGCGGGGGGCTTACTTGACTCCCGGCAACAGCTGCTGCTGCGTGATGTCGTCAGAGAGCTCGTCGGAGCCACCGTACACCCTAAAAAGCAAGAGGGGGGAGCTGAGTCCTTGGGGCAGAAGACAACCCAGCAAGAAGCTGGCCAATGAGACACCGAAAAGGAGGCCCCACGAGCCACCCACTGGGGTTGGGGGGGGCGTCATACTTACGTCTCCCCCACCGAGGACTTGGCATACTTCTTCATGTAATACTCGCCCAGTTCCTCCTCTCGTTGGTCCCTGTGTGGGGCATGGGGGGGAACAGGGAACAGCTTGGTGATACTGCTCAATTTTGCCCGGTACTCTAAGAATTCCTGAGCAGAGGCTCGCAGCTTCTGATGCGCTCTGCACGTGTGGATGCGAGGCCTTGGGATCAGCCGCCAGGTAGCTCGCGATGGGCAGTTCACCGCGTCTGGGGACTGATCTTCGGCACCTGAGGACGGGCTACCAACCGATCGGCTCACTGGATCCCCAGGGCTTCTGCTCTGCCCCTAGTCCTCTTGGATCACAAACGCAGGGCTAGGGAAGGCCGTTTTTGTCCTCCCTGTTGGGAGAATTGCCTCAGCGGGGTCACTGTGGCAGACGCCGCCACTGACGCAGGAGGGTGCCAACTGAATGAGGCACGGCAGAAGTGCCCGCTGGACAAAAGGCCCGCTTTCCCATGCTGCGCTGGCGCTGCTGGCGTGGGCGGAGGCTGCCCCCCAACGGGAGCGGGTGTTCTAAGCAAACCTAAGCTTGCTAGTTCATGTAACAGCAGGACCACCATTCGGGGAGAAGGGGAGTTTCTGTCAGGCAGAATTTCATTTCCGGATGGGGGCTGGAGGAGACACAAAGACCACCGTGCGAGGTTCTAAACACTACTCCTCTCTCTCCTACTGCTATCCAATCTACAGGGAAACGAGGATCATACGAGGCAGAAATTGTAAAAGCGCATCCCGTCCTGCAAGCGGCCTGTGCCGTCCCCGCGCTCCTCGTATTACCTCCACAAGTTCTGCAGCCTCCGCGCCCCGGAATGATCCTCATCCAAAACCACATTGTCGATGTTGGACGCTAGGAGAAGAGACAGGCGTTTGCGAGGGTGGGCAGCGGTGGCAGGGAAGGGAGCAGGCGGGAGACGCGGGCAAACAAGGGCTGGGCTTGAGCGGGAGCTGCAAACCGCTCTCTGGGCCTGACGCGCTGGCCAGTCAGAACATCCTGCTGCTCCGGGAGACGCGAGCGCACTCGCTGACCAAGACCACAGAAAAGGAAGGAACCCGGAAGGTTCCAGGGAGGGGGGCTTGCTGTCACCCCGGCAGGCCAGCCTCTGCCACGTGCGAGGCGCTCCTGGCACGGCGGCCTCTTCCGCCTGGGTCCTCAACAGCCATCTCCTGAGAAAAGGGGCACCGGGGGAGATACGTTTTGCGTGGCGGTGGGGAGCGTGTGCCACGGCCGTTCGCTTCAGCTGCAAGTGGACACTGCATGGCCCTCCGTATCCCGCCGATTCCTGGAGCAGAGCAGGCGCGCAGGCTAAGGGAGGCCACATGGCCAAAATGTGTCTCCCTGACCACTTCATTTTCTACCCGCAGGCCTAGTTTTTATACGAAGCAGCAACCAGGCGCGTGAACCTCCAAGTGCGGCTGACAGTGGTGCAGCTTTGCCACCTCCAGGAGGGCCGGCCTCGGACATGAAGGGGAGCCCCAGGAAAGACAAGGCCAGAAAATCGCTCCAACAACCACCTGAGAGCATGAGCCAACCATTTGGAGCAGCTGAGAGAAACCTGAGGACTGAGGACTCACAGGGACCAAACAGATCACAGGAAAAAGGGGAATTTAGTTATTGGAGGAACTGCTCCACCAGTGTAGTCGCTACAAGAGGGAACCAGGCCATCCAGCCTCAGAACCCTGACAGGAATGGAGTGGGGGCTTCGGGCAAGCCACGTGCTCTTGGCTCCCCTCCCTTCAGGAACAGCCCTCGTAGGCGGCTTCTCAGGAAGGAGGCCGGGTTCTGTGGCACACGTAAAGTGCAGTAGATGCACAAGGGAAGCTTGAAGGGCTGGTCCGAATCTCTTCGGGGGCGTGTCTACTAGGGCTGGCTGCAGAGAGGACCTGCACTTCTGCCCTGGTCAGGAAAGTGGCCTCAAATGGCGCAATCCTTGATCCGCCACCGCAGATCCATCTCCAAAAGAATCTACCTCAGGAGAGCGCTCCACTGTCGGGCCCCGGAAAGCGCTGCATAGCTGAAGGAGGGGGACCTGGGCCAGGCAGCTCTGCTGCAGGTGACAGAACCTTTATGTCATGTGTACACCCCCACGAACCTGAAGCAACCGAGCAAAGTTTCCAGGGCACTACCAGCCCCCAGCCCCACTGACAGAGCCCCACTCAGCCAAGAAGAAGCAGAGAAGGCAGGCAGCCGGTGAAGAGGAAGGAGCTGGAATGAAGAGGATAAAAACAAAAACCGTTCTTACCTTCAAGTTCTTCTGCTCATGATGAGGTGGTGGTGGGAGGGCGGACAGTATGAGCCAAATAATACCATCAAAACCAACCAGAGGGTGGGGGTGAATGGGGAACAGAAAAGCGGAAGGAACAAAATTAAGATGTGGCACAACCAAGCAGAAGCGAATGAAATGCACGGATACGCAGGACAGAAGCCATGGGCCCAGGCAGGGAGCGCTGGCAGGGTCGGCCTCGGTGCAGCCAGCCTCAAGGGGCACGTGCCTCTCTGCTCAACGGCTGGAGGAGGAAATGGATCCTTGTCCACCTCTCCAATCAGTGGGTCTTTTGCAATTGCGGCATGTGGACACAGGCCAAAACTCTCAGAAAACAGTGTGACTGGTTTAAATGTTTGACAGCAACAGTGCACGTTTCAATCAGGGGTTTTTTAACTGGGAAAAAGTTTTTCCTGTTCTGAAGAGGAAAAAAGTTTTAAAAATGTAGTCGAATTTCAAAAGCCTTCCCATTTTAGGGGCTTGGCTTACAGCCAGGAACAAAAGAAATATCCTAAAGATAATTGTGTCCATGAAATACAGCATTGTTTAAAGGATGTATTTTCTTGGATCTCTAAGATGGCATAGGAGAATGCAAATGTTTAAGAACTCAAACTCTAGTTGGGAATGGCCCATCTGAACAAGAGGAGCTCTGCTGAAGACTTCTGTGGGAAGCTAAACCCTGCACGTCCTTGCTTTGAGCTGCTGAGGCATGCTGGGTTGCTCTGAATCCCAGTTATCTACATGGAAAGGGTTAGTCTTACCTTTCTCCAGGATGTCCTCTGCACCATCCTCCCACTGATCTTCATCTTCATACTCATCATCCACATCTGGAGGAAAGAGAAAAGGGAGGAACAAGGTCCACAGGGTAAGCAGGGGCCAAACCTGGAGCTAAAAGTGTTGTTTCTCTCTGCACACTTTGAAACGCCCATCCAGAAGAAGAGTTGAGGAGGCAAGAGAAGGCTTTTTACCAGCTTCATCCAAAATAAAGCCTCCGTGTCTGGGTTTCTTGGCAGGACGATCGTCATCCTCCTCCTCCTCCTCCTCATCATATTCTTCCTCCTCCTCCTCCTCCTCCTCTTCTTCCACTTCTTCTTTCTCGCTGCCTACAACACTGACACGCTCTTCGGCCTACATGGTTATCAAGGGAGAACATTCATTTTTGACTCAGGTATGGTCCTGCCTGGATAATTTATGTGTTCAACCAACCAGCTAGTCCAGCTGAAACAGCACTCCCCCCACCCCCCGTCGTTGCCCTCTTGACACCATCTGGACCTATTAACCCCTGGAGGACCACGATCCTGTCAGCCTAAAATCTCGGCAGGTGCTGCTCTGACCACCCCAAAGGGACTAATTCAAAGTCCTCCCCACACAGAGACCGCGGCATCAGCACGGCCTGGAAGGCGGCTGTGCGACATTCGTCACTCAGGGAACCTGCGTGGGCGGGGCAGCTGCTTTTATGTCCTGCTTGGGGCTTCTGGCCGGCCCGTGTGTGGACAGAGCACTAGGCAAGGCCTTTTGGCTGATACAGCAGGGCTCTTTTTGCTCTTGGGAGGCCAGGCAGAACCAGAGTCGACCCATCAGGCACAGGGCGAGGTCAACGGACAGGACTACAAGCCCCCTTGAAGAGAAACAGCGGAAGGACGGGATACAAACCCACTGCGTATGGAAAAATCTGCCCACCCAAACCAGGGAGTCCTCAGTCCAGAGACACACTGTGCTGAGGCAGGCAGGCCACACGAGTCAGTCAGGGGAGGCACATCTCCGTTCCACAGCCTCACCTCATTCTCCTCGGCTTCCTCCGCTTCACTGCTGCGCTCGCTTTCATCTTCAGAGAAGTTGCTGTCCTCACTGTCAGACATTTTGGCAATGCTCCTTTATCCTGAAGAAAGAAGCAGCTTGTTAAAATAATAAAAGCCACATGCTTGTTCATGGGGAGCCTGGGAGAAGAGAGGTATGCAGACCCCAAACAAAAAAGGGAGCGTGCAGAGTAAGGCTCTGAGCATGCAGTTCCTCACAAACAAGATGGATCAATCACAACTGTTGTTCCCATATCAGAAACATGCACTGGAATGTGGGGGAGGACCCACCCAGGGGTCTCAGGGCAGGGCTGGCTCTCTAGACGACACTGGCCTTCACTTCAGAGCATTTGCCAAAAAATGGTACCACCTCTATCAAAGGAGCATGCGCTTGTTTTTATTTAGATTTCTCCAAATAAGGTATTTTCTTAAGAAATTTCACCTTTAGGCAGCACTGCAAATCCTGCAGCTATTTCTCAGGAGTAATATAATCCTCCCTGCTCACTCTAAAACCCAGCGCCCTACCTTTTAGATTCCAAGCCTGACGGCAGGGCCTGTGTTATGTCGAGTTTTTCCAGTAACGTCCAGTTCTTCTAGTAATTTTAGGCATTAAAATCATCACAACAGCAGCATCAGAGCAAAGGCTTGTATCCTGTTCCCCACAGTGACCAATCAGATGCCAACAGGAAGCCCACAGCATTAACAAGACTGTTTGACACATGCACACTGTCCAGCGATTCCTCGAATCTATCATGACTAGTAGCCATTGCTAAAGCACCTAATCCCCTCTTGGAGCCCCCAAGGTCGGTGGGTGTCAGCACATGGCAGCCAGCCCTGTCACGACCAAGCCACAGACCTTTAGTCCTTTGACAGCAAACGGTCAGTCCAAAATGTCTCCCACACAGCCTGGCATCAAACTACAGAAGCGGGCCAAAGCTGCCTGGGAAAAATGCAGGAAGCAGCAGCAGCAGCAGCAGGGAAAGCGCAAGAAGCCCCAGACAAAAGTGCTCTCCAGGGTGAGCCACGAGACTCTGCCAGGCTAGGGAAAGGCGGAATGGCCCACTTCACACAGCTGAGTTTGCTGCAGTCTCCTCCAACCCTGCACATTCCGTGCCCCTTGTCTGCGGTGACCAGGGGGAGATTTTGTGTTTGAGGAGAAACTCTTTCCATATTGTACTATTTTATGGGGTTTTTTAAATTTGTACTGCTGTGCTGATTTTGTTTTCTATTTGGGGGGCTGTGTTTTTCTCCTGTTACATCTTACCAGATGTACCATGGACTCCAGGGCTGCATGTATGTGGGTTAATCACTTTGGGATTTTTTTGTGGTGGGAAGCATTATCATCCAAGCCATGCATCAGCTCCTGGCTTCCTCCAACCTGGTACATCCAAATGTTTTAGACAATGGTTCCAATCATTCCCAGGCACCATGGGCTCAAGACAGTTTGAAATCTGAAGTATCCAGAAGGTACCACACGGACTTAAGAAAAGCTGCAGTGGATCAGACCCCAGTTCTATCCAGCTCAGCATTCTGGCCATGTGGTGGCCAATGCGCTGCCCAGAGGAAACGCGCAGGCAGAATACTACTACAGAAACGCCTTGCTGCCCATGTTCCCCAGCAACTGGCACATCCAGGCATACTTCCTCTGATGCTGGAGGGTTCACATGGCCATCAGGATGAGTAGCCCTGGCAGCCTAATCCGCCATGGCAGAGGTGGTCAGTCCAAAGGCAGGTCAGGGTGACCATCTCCCTGTACACAGGAAGAATATCAAACTGGTTCTTGAGGACCTTCAACTGGTTCAGAATAGAGCAGTCAGGTGGCTAACAGGGACCAGCAGATACACACACATTAACACCAGTGCTTTCAAGTGCTGGTGATGACTTATAATGCCCTAAACAGCCCAGGACCTGGATCTCTGAAGGAGCCCCTCCTTCCGTACATACCTGCCCAGCCCCTAAGATCTGGAGGGAAGGGGTCCTTCTTCAAGAGCCTTCTTTGAAGGTGATCAGAAGAGTGGCTAGTTAGAGAAAGGCCTTCTCTGCAGTGGTGCCTTGGCTATGGAATACACTCCCCAGAGAGGTGTACCTGGTGCCGACACCTTTTTCATTTTAGCACCAGGCCAAACCCTTTTCATTTTCCCATTATTTTAAATGTTAATAGTATTTTAAGACAGGGTTTTATTTAATGTATATTTTGAAGCTGTACTTTATTGTCTTTTATTGCATTACCACCCTGAAACACAGTGAAAGACGGGATAGAAAAGCTTTAAATTAATAAATTGAACAAATGCATATTTTAAAATCTGAGCAGTAAGGCGATGGAGCCATGGCCCAGGGAGGTTGCAGGCTCTCCCACACTGCGGAGAGCACAACGGAGAGAAAGGAAAGACTCTGGAGACACGATAACTGCGGGCGAATGATTCCGCGGGCGGGCTGGCTGCCCGGAGCTGGCGGATGGCCGCGACGGCCTCCCGGGCCCTCCCCGTTCCACTGCTGTGGCTCGAGATCGGGCCAGGGCACATCCACTCCGGCCCCCGCTCGCTCCGGGGGCGGCCAGGAAGCGAGAGGCCCAGAAACCGGCAGGCCCGCAGCGCGGCCGCCGCCCCCGATCGCCGCCCCCACGCACCGCCTCGCGCCTGGAGGAGGCAGAGCGCCCGCCCGGCCGCGCCGCCCCTCAACGCCACCTCCGCGCCGAGGCCGCCCGTCCCCTCCGTTGGCCCGGCCCGGCCCGGCCCCGCGCGCGGCAAGTAGGCCGCAGCCCTCGGGCCTAGCGGCCGCGCGGGCTGGGGCCGGCGGGAGCGGGAGCCCGGGGCCTGGAGCCCGCGGCGGGCCTCTCACCGTCGCGTGGCGCGTGTCGCGTGGCGCGCCTCGGCCCGGCGGCGCGCCCGCCTCAGGCCTCGTCCTCCGACGGCTCCGCGGGGGAAGCGCGGGGAGCGCGGGCGGCGGGGCGGCGGCGGGGGGCGAGTCGGACTCGACGAGTGTTTACCGCCCCGTCCGCTCCGCGTCTCGCGAGAACGCAGCTTCCGCGAGAGGACGGGGAGGGGAGGGGCGCGCGGTGATTCGCCAGGAGCCGGCCGCTGGTCACGTGCCGCAAAGCGCCGCCCCCGCCCCCGCCCCCGCCCCCGCCCCCGCCCCCGAAGGCCCACTTCCGCTTTCTGGCCGGCTGCGTGCGTCCTGAGCGCGGATTGGCTGGAGTGCGATGGCGGCTCTAGCCAGCAGAGAGGCCGGGAGGAGGGTCAAAGGGGATGTCTCCCACCCCGGAAGGGGCGTGGCCTGCAGTGGTGCGCCGCTCCTGCTGTGCGACGTAGTTTGCGCGGCTTGGCCAACGACTTTCGCGGTTTTAAATATTGTGAGAAGCGGGATTAGGGCCGCAGTTTCATTCTAAAGGGCCCGTTTAGATTGAAATAAGTCCTTCTACTCCCAGCATGCCCAGAGAGTCCTGTTGACTGGGGCATGTTGGGAGTTGTAGGAAATGTTCTGTCCGGCCAGCTCGGGAGTGCTCCCTTAGTTGTAGTATATGTTAATAAAAGAAAGTGGAATTGTTGTAAAAAAAGAGAGGCAGAATTCCTATTAGTTCTCCCACTTTGTATTTATTTATCCCTTTTTCTTGCAAAGAGCTCAAAAAGCTTAGATCGTTCTTCTGCTCTCAGTCTTGGCCTCACAACAACAACCCTGCGAGGTAGGTTGGGCTGAGCATTTGTGACTCGCCCAAAGTCACCCAGTCGGCTCCGTGGCTGAGCAGGAACTAGAAGCCGGATCACCTGAGTCCTGGTCCCATGCTCTTAACCACTGCAACAGAGGCAGCAGCACATTTACTACCCGCGAGTAAAATTAAGCTGGAGGTTCAGAACTCTCAAGCCATCTGCCCCCTGTAGGCTCCCTGTGGCTGCATCCTGACCCCAGACCCTGTAAATTCGTACAGCATTCTGCATACAATCCTACGCCTAAGTATCAAAGAGGAAGCCCCTGTGGGGTTTTGTGCATGGAAAGAGGCGTGCTATTGTGCAGCTTGAACAGTACCTGCTTAGTTAAAACTACATTATATTACATCTCATGGGGCTAACTTCCTAGTAGGTGTCTTCAGCAGTCTTGTCTGGGTAGACGTGGCTGGCCAGGGCATGTTCAGAGAGGAAGGACCTTTGACAGCAACTGCCACATAAGTTCCCATCCAATGGAAAGAAAGAAGTGTTGTAAATTACTTCCAATCCCTTAAAAGCTGGAAATACCAAGTCTTTATTACAACTGAATATTTAGCCCAGCCTTGGCTAAACTGGTGCCCTCTGTAAGTTTTTGACTTCCTCTCCTGTCATCCCCAACCAGCAGGTCCCACGATCAGGAATTCTGGGAGTTACATTCTAGAGGGGATCCATTTGGGAAACGCTGCTTTGGACATGTTTCCTGGAAAGTAAGCCTCATTGAATTCAGAAAATATATTTAGGACCAGGCTGTGGGAGCACCTGAGTGAATTTAAGACAGCTCTTCCCACGTATTAAATAGTGAAAAGAAACAGAAGAAAAGTCTTTACATATAGAATGTTTCTGACCTGTTCAGTTGGAATGAAGTGAGAAAACAATATTGCTTTATTGACTGACTGATGCTGTGCTTTTGCCAGGGAGGTCCAAGGTGTGGCCTTTGTCCTCTTCAATTTAATCTTTAAGGTAGGTTAGGCAGGGAGGGAAGAAACGGCATGAGCTCATACCGTGCAGTTCATGGCTCTGGTTATTTTAACCCATATCAACATAGGTCCCCTTAGTTGCAGTCCAATACTCTCACCACGATATACTGCGCTGGCGCTCTTTTGGCATCCATTTTCTGGACTATTGTTATTGTTGTCTCCTCCACGGTCAATATTTAGACTGTAAGCGCCTTGGAGCAAGGACCAAATGGGGCAGGGGGTTGTTTATTTTGCTGATGTGCCATGTTATGTTATGTACCATGGACATCAGTGGTACTATAATGTCAGATATCCATTGGAAGAATGTCTAGTGGGAATTGAGACATGGCAGCTTGGACTGATAGTATATTGGGGGTGTTTCTAGCCCACGTTGTCTACCTTTACATGGAGAAACAAGAAGAAAACGCTGCCTAAAGATTCAGGAAAAGAAATGGCTTGTCCTTTTAACAAACAAAATCAAAATGACTTGGAAGTAGAGGTTGCAACTTTCTGAATGGCAGAAAGAGTTGGGTTGTTTAGCCACTCTGGCAGGTTGCAACATCTGTCTTAGGTACTATTCAGGGGTTCAGTTGTTCTTTGAGGAGATCAACCTGTCGGGATTCACCAACACAGAAATTTAAGCTCTGGAGGGAATCCACATGGAGGAGAAATCGAAGAAGCACCGCAGGAACAACACTGCTGTTTTTAAGCACGGGTCATCTGTCTATGCTGTTTTCTCCACAAGAAACAGGAACAGTGCAACTCTCTTGTCTGATAAACCCTGCAGCAGTAAGACACATGAAACATTCAAAGTCCACGCAAGAGCACTGAGTAGACGCCAGGAATTCAGTCCCCTGCATAATCGCCTTTGGGATGCAGGCCGCCTCCTGGAGCTGCACGAGCCTGCTTCCCATGATCAGAATTGGCTTTTTCTCGCCTCCATTTAAAAGCACATCTCCATAGCTGAAAAGATACATGTATGGATAATTCCAGCTGAAATTTCAGAAGGATATCCAGATTCCAGTAATTGGCCAAGCTCTCCTTCAAGACAAGAGCCCAAATCAATTGGGCAAAACAGTTTTTAAATGTGCATAACAATGTATGCAAAGTAATCCCAAGACTCTTTTTATTGGCTTTATTTAGTCAGGCTGCAAAACTCCATTTTTCTCAGCGCAAGATTTAAGTTCTCTGAGTGCAGAGAGCGCGTAGTTCCCAGGTTCAGGCTATGCAGTCTCTTCAAAACAACCCCCAAGGACCCTTTCCTTGGCTCAGGCCCTTGGCGTAATTTGGCACCTGGGTATCTCTGGCTTATACTGTACAATTGCTGGGCCAGCTCTCGCAACTGTCCCCTTGAGGCTGTTCAACGATGGCATCACAAAGACATTCGGACGGGACCAGAATCCCGGGTGAGAAACTCCCCTGGCAGAAAGAGGGAAAACGGGGAGAGAGTCACTCACTTTGGGGGCCGCCTCAGAGGAAGCAGTGTGCGTGAAGGGGGGGGGGGAGTGGAGCCAGTTCGAGGGGCGACTTTTCCGAGGAAACTGCCACGAGTGATGGACAGCTGCGCAGCCCTCGGCTAGGAGACCGCACTGGAACCCCGTTCACCCTCCAAGGCTGTTCCCAATCTGAAATGCATCTGAATTCAGTCTCTCCTGGAATCTGCCGGGTTGCGGGGAGGTCTCCAGCCCTCCAATTGCTGTTCGGCTCGTCCCGCCCCCCCCGCCCTTCCACCCCCCCACCCCGCCCTTCCTTAAGCGTGTTGTCTTTTCAGTTTGCCAGCTTTAAGGCCAGGCCTGTCTCATTGCATTGGGCTGGTTCTGCTTTGGGAGACAATGTTTGTTTAAATGCAGCATGCAAATACAAACAAATGTTTCGACGTTCTTTGCAAAACCACCATGACAGCTGAGTAAACTTTAGGGTTCTTGGGAATAGCATGGCGTCTATCAGATCTCCCTCCCACCAGGCAGAAAGCAGATCTCCAGAGGACGAGGTCCAGCTTTGCCCCCGCCAGCACATCTGCAGCCCTCCCCTTCCCGGCACTGGAACTCGGGCGGCGGAGGGGGTGTCTTGGCAACGCACCCTGCAGAACTGGGACAGGCTGCAGATCTGCACCCTGGCCAGGCATCAGCCCAGGGACGGGGTTCAAAGAGCCAAGGGTGCAGTGGGGTCGCGCACGGAGCGTCTCGCGGAGCCCCCCTCTCAGAGCTCCCAGATGCTGCCGCTCAGCATGGCCCTGCTGCAGGCGGCTGACGCTTATCCTCAATCTCTTGCTATTCGCATGAGGCTGGTGCAGCTCCACCGCAGAGCCTGCGGGCTGGAGGCCCCGGCCCCTTCCCCGGAGGACACAGCCTGTCGCTGGAGCACCGCTGCCCTTCACGGGCAGTGATGGCGAGGGAGCCTAACACAGGCTGGGCCCAGGCCGGGGGAGCTAGCGGGGAGCCGCAGCCCAAGCCCCTGGGGGCCCCAGGTGGAGAGGCCTGGCGTGGCGTTCGGCAGCTTCCTGCGTTCCTGTACTGACAGTGGCATTACAATTGAGCTGGAGAAAAATACTGACAGCGGGATGATTCTGGGGGCCGAGAGCCGCACGTTCTCCCACCTCCACTCGTGGTCAGCCTCCTGCTCCCCGATTCCCCCTCTCACACACGGAGGCCGGCGAGGCCAGCGGCGTGCCCTTCCGCGGCCCGTGGACCCATCCGTGCCGGCCCCGCCGACTGCCGGCCCCCACCGCCCGCCCGGACGGACCGCCCCCGCAGCCAGTCCGCCAGGGTCACTCACCCGTTGCCCCTGCTGCGGGCACCCAGCCCAAACAGGGTGGCCCAGCTCGGGGCGGACTCCCCGGGAGCGTCTTCCGACGGGGCGTTTCGAGGCCGAGCAGGACAGGTTGGCCCGCCTGCGGGAGGAGTGGGCGGAGGGAGGGAGGGAGGGCCCCTCCGGCCACCGGCGAGGGTCTCGGCCCATCAGGGGGCTGCGGGGGGGGCAGTGCGTCTTCGTCGGGGCCTGGCAGTTCCGCTGGAGCAGCTGCAGCAGCCTGTGCAGGAAGTCGAGCGCCGGCCGCTCGGGGTGGTCCTCGCAGGGCCGGCACGTGGCGCACTGCCTCCGCCGCAGCTGCCGCCGCATCTGGGCCAGGCGGAGGAGCAGCCGGGCGAGGGTGGCCGCGTGCGCCTCCCGCTCCTCCCGCATCACTTGCAGCTCCAGGTAGAAGCAGTCCAGGTTGTCGGCATAGCAGACCTAAGAGACACCAGGAGGCGGGGGGCGGGCGTGAAGCCCGGTGAGGGC